CCGGTTAAACTACATATTTCATTTCATATTTACTTCCAAGTATTGATATGCAAAACGTTTTAATCAATTATCAGTAAGACAGAAATAATATATAAATGATTTCAAGTGTATTGTTTACGTAGATTAAACAGACTCTCTCTCTCTCTCTCTCTCTCTCTCTCTCTCTCTCTCTCTCTCTCTCTCTCTCTCTCTCTCTCTCTCTCTCTGTGTGTGTGTGTGTGTGTGTGTGTGTGTGTTGCTCTCTCTCTCTCTCTCTCTCTCTCTCTCTCTCTCTCATTGTTATATATTGTTCGGAAAAATACAAGTTTAATAACATGTGTCAAATCGCATTGTATATTCTGGATGAAAATAAATAAACTAATACATTTTAAACTCAAAGATTCCGTGTGGAATACTTTCAATTATTTCTTGGGCGCTCTTAATTCACGAATGTCCATGAGCTTTAAAATAATTACAACTTCACTTCTTGAGCTACGTTTTGCCACGAAATTTAGTAACCACGAAGATGCACGAAAATTCAGTTCCACGAAAATATGCACATTTACAGAAGTACGTATTTTCCTATTGATAGATGTACAAAACTTAAGACTAACAAACGACCGCAACACAGGACCTCAATGGCACAAGTCGTGAAAATGTCGGAAAGTGTTATAACATACAAGGCGTAAAATATAAATCCACTAATTACCTAAAACTAACTTAAAGAATACTCATATGTGTTACCCTGGTAAATACTAGCCGCAATGCAGGTAGGGTAGACAACTCTAGCTCAGTGGAGAAACCTCTAGATAATGGCGTCCCTCAGGGTAGTGTTATCTCCCCTACTTTGTTTAACATCTTCATAACTAAACTTAATCAACATCTTGCCGTAGTTTAACCAAATTATTGGAACGCTGGTGTAGGGGAGACAACTCTTATTTTGTATTTGTATACGATGCAAGAGTAGCGAACCGTCAAAATTTTATCTCATTACTGTGGCGTTTTGTTATTACTTTTATGTTTTTTCTATTTTATTTTTTTAAGTTGTTGAGAAATAGAAAAAATAGATTTAAGTGGAATTTTGATAGCCCCGTGAACTTTATTCTGTATACATGTAGTATACCATTTGCTTGATCACGTGTTTTACCCAGAGTTATGTACGTGTTGCATCAGTAGATAGAGACGAGACTATCCGTGCATGGACCAGAATAGTAAGATTTACAATGTGTATGATGAGATACAGCTGTCGTTTGTGATGACAAACAATAATACTGTTTATAACACAAGAAGATGACATAATAATATGCTTTCAGATAATAGTAGGGCATTGCTAGAACTGTGACCAAAATAATAATGTCCTTTTCCAATTAGATCAGCAGCGCTTTTACAATGAGTCTGACTAACACACGTGCTGATGTTAATATATGTAGTATATTTATTATGTATATCAAACGATCTTGGGTTCAAATCACCTCTCATCACTTTTTCGTTAGCCGTTCTCCGCACCCATTACATAAAAAGTGATTAAATCCTACACATATTACACCAGGAATTTTTAACAGACCTTTAATAACTTTACATAGATATGGCTTCTTAAATCGATTTTATCCTCATTTTTACCTCGGATTCGCTTAGCTGTGTTTTAGCGACATGTCTTAGTATGGGTACTAAAATACGCCTACAGAACTAAAACACAGCGTGTGTCCAGATTTTCCCGAGCAAAAAGTGGCGGGAACTTACATTAATCACTTTTTTCTAATAAACATCCATAAACATCCATCAGAAATCACACTGTCATTTATTTTCACAACACAAATGCATTTCATTGTAATAAGTATCTCAACATATAGGAAAATGAGCATTTAATCAATTTGAGGATGAGTGAGAAAAGAATCTCTACTCTCAGAAGTGATCCTTGACTACCCTATCATCGTGAAAACATATGAAGAAAGGAGTGTTTCTTTTACAGATGTACCAAACACGGACAATGTCCTACTCTTGTTCGTAATCTGTACTGTAAGGGTCAATATTTGTAAGGATTATTTATCAGTGGTGATAAGATAGCGTCACTCATTTTCTCCGAACGGAAGGCTCATGGTAGACAACATGGTAAGTTTGACAACAAAATTGTTTTCATTTACCACAAGTCGTGTTTCAGAAGCACAATGAATGCCCCTTGTTGCTGTTCATGTCTTTTTTTTTTGTATTTGTAATCAAGGTACACAAGTTGACATGATTTTATATATCTGTAACATCACCCTTATTCCCCTTAAGTGATAGTATTAATGTACTTGAAATAATTTTTGATATAAATTCTTTGTGATTTATTGATGGCACAGAATATTCATTGATAGACTGGACAATTTTCCAGCCACCTAACTGGGCGATTTCAGTTCAGCTTCGACCAGACTAGTAGCAAATGTTTCTTTGTGTTGAATTATTCTCTTTGCAACCTTTAAGTGGATCCTTTTCAGTCCTAACGTTCATATCTTACCAAGTGTGTCTTTTCCCACGGGTTGATGGGAGTACCAAACATCTGAATCACTACTAAGATTTGATAGCGGCCTATATGTTAAATCTAGCATCTGATTAATTAAGATATTTTGGCGGATGGTCTTTGTAAATTTTGTACAGCAGTACTGGGCAGGTGTTCCTTTCCTTGTTTTGTATCGATTCGTTTATTTAGTACTTCAGTATATGTACCGGTCGTGAGAAATTTGTCCAGAAACTGTCACCAACATCTGTCGTAATATTGAACAAGAAGCCGTAAAATCCATACAAATACAATATGGAGGAGGTTAATAAATAATAGTACGAAATATCACTCGTATATATATATATGGCTGGTGTGTGTGTCACGTGGTTGTTGTATGTATCGATATGTCCATAATCAGAACACCTCGCCTCTTTCGGTAATTGCTTGATACAGACTCCATATAACTCGCCTTTTTTTCTAACAATGTCAGCTCTCATCTTTCTGTTGCCAATCTTAAACGACTAGTAACATATAACATAGAAGACAATGTCAAACTCCTGGCAACCCGCAGAATCAGACTACTGCTCAATGACTATTAGGTAACAAAACAAAATGGACAACTTTGATTTATTTTATGGAGAAATTCGTATACGATCTAGGATCTCTGTATGTGGAAAGAAGAGAGAAAAATGTTTTCATTTTTGGCACGAGTCTGTAAGTCTGATATGTTTTCATTAAAGATCTCCCTAAGCCATGAGAGAGAAAGTGAGAGTTTAACATTTATGATGTCGCGTGAGGGGGAATAATTATATCGGAAATAAGATGTTTTTGCTTAATATTTCAGTCCGGAGGTATTTATATTGTGCTGATATCATTCTCCTGCTTGTTAGTGGGAGTGCAGGGTCTCTTCCGTAAGTATTGTATAATATATATGATTTCCACATAAGATATATGAGCAAACAGTTTATGAATAATTTATCTACACAGAGTGTGCAATGTCATAAGTACCTAGATTTATCTACCACACTGCAGTCCAAAATTCCGTAAATGAAACGATAAGCTTAATTTTTAAGCAGACACAATTTGCTGTATTTTGCACATTTCAAAACACACCTGAATGGATCAATAGAGAACGGAGTTTTGAACAGATTTTAAAGGCAATTGTATAATAAATAATTTATAAGCAAATTCTATGTTTGGTCTTGATTAAGTTACAATAACTGAATGGCGGGAAATGCAATAAATCGGTTACCTACAAGGAGCTTGGGTGGCAATCACTAACAGACAGGTGTAAAAATAGAAAATTATCCATGTTCTGTGATATTTATCGCAATACTTTTCCGTCAAATTTTAAATCTCTACTACCTCCTGTTTTCTCAAACCTCTCTGACTTTCAAAACCCACATTATGGCCTACAAGTCACAAAGTCATCCTTCATACCGAAGACTTCGCACAGTTGTAACAATCAAAAACTGACGCAAAGACACCAGCATTTTCTCAAACGATTTTATATCCTTCATCATTCACACGACATTATCCATTTGTTGACTGGGTTTGAGATCAATATGAGAGAATGTTATCAATGTCTTTAGCGGTATATTCAGCATATCTGTCCATGATGACAGACCGGGTCATGCAAATATCGGGCCGGAAGTCAGCAATGCTTGCTTATTACGGAAATTGTCGAGTAACGACCGGAAAGTACCGAACAGTAACGAGTTGTTACGTGTTCTGGGACAAACTTGGAATTTTAGATTTAATTCAATAGAAAAGTATAGAGAATAAACAGTAAAGGTATATAACAATATCTATTGTCAATTACGAAACTCGGGAGCTTTTTAATGTATAAACTCTACTTGTGACTGCGAATATCACTCTAACACTCTGAAGTTTTTAGGAATATTTACCCGGGTATTGTGCAAAAATCTCACAATTTTATGCTTCGATCTCTCGACTGGTAACGAAATCAACGTTTCTCCTCTCACCAACAGTCACTGCTTATGCACGTCATTATCAACGTTCATCTTTCTAACGTACACTTCTTTATTCATGTCCCGTTATAAATATCAAATACAAAACACGTGTCTGGTTTTCCTGATTAAGCCTACGAAGTATGTAAGACCAGTATTTTACGATGTACTATGTGTCAAGAAGAATGTGATGTCTATAAGAAGTTACATATATGTGTGTGTATAGGATAGTTGTATACACCCACGTGTAATCTCCAATAAATCAATCGCACACAGATTTAACAGAGGTCATTTATATCAATGCCTCCGTCTGGATTCGAACCCATGACTCCCTGATTACCATCCGATCTAAAGAGAAGTTCTGCAGCCGTCTGTAGCCGAGTGGTGTATTGCGAATAGTATTTACCAGAGTTATACATATTTCATATTTCAACAAAAAATTATTGATTCTGCATGTGTGTAATTGTTATGGAAATGTCGTAAAAAGTTTGTACAAACTTTTGTCTAGTCAATTTGTCTTTTGTTTGCAGTATGTTTGATTTAGTTTACAATGTAAAGTAGCTTTTTTCCTTCAGGTTCGTGTAAGGAAATTTATGCCGACAACCCAAACAGCGTGAACGGTACCTATCAGATAATGAACCGGAAACAGGAACCGTTCACTGTTTATTGTGTTTTTTACCTGGATTACGGATACACCTACATAGCGAGTACAGCTTCAGTACACATAGATATCGCCGATCTGTATACATCTACTGCACATGCGCTAGTACGCCATCTTAATACAGCAGGACAGCAGAAAGAGACGAAATTGGAACAAATTTCGAAATACAGCTCCCAATACCCCCTGTCTTTCCAATATAACGCAAATGTCGGATATGCCACTCCATACAATCACCAGCAAATGGCGCCATACCTTTATTTGGGTTTCTTGCCGGTTACGGTGGCTCAGAATCGTAACCAGCAGGGTTACAGAGCCAACGGCGTGGATTACCTGTTCACAAATTGTGACAGCAATCCAAACAGCTATATGGCTTTTTACTTTAATCCGAATCACAGTGTCCCTCTTAATTATGCTAGTTGTTGTGACACCAAACTAATGCATGATTGGGTTACGCATGCGCGCGATGTCCCGAAAGCTAGTTACTTGCCGGCCGAATTTTACTTTTTCTTTGAGCTTCACATGGGCGGATGTGGAGGATACGCCATTCCACCTACCATCATACATGACGTACGAGGAGCTGCCCTGGGCCTCCGATTCGGTAGGTAGTATCTTAAGTAATGTATGTTTAGAAAGGTATATTTTTTTCTTGTCATTAACTAATGTTTATGGATCAAACAAAACAACGAGATCGAGGGCTAAGTGACCTTATTCTGGTGTAGTCCAAATGTTTCGAAAGATTTTTTTTTAATCTGAGAACGATTTTCCTTTTTGTGTTTTTTATGATCTATCTGCAGATTATGACAGCCCGTGTGCACCTTCACCTTGTCAGAATGGAGGCTCATGCTATCCTGATGGGTCTCGATTTGTCTGTGAATGTTCGGAAGGATACAATGGGGCACAATGTCAAAATAGTAAGTCATCAAGGGGAGGTAATCAGACATATGATATATGTTATGGCATATTCTGCCTAAAAAGGTGATATTCTCGAATTCAAATATTCTATGTAAATGTGATTCGGCTAACATCGGCTGACTCCGGTACCGTTAATTGACGTACAGATGTAGTTACGGAATCAGCCGAGATGTTACGATGGTTATTTAATTATTAATAGCATTTGATATCATTCAGATCTTTGATTTTTTATTTTTCTAATTTATATAACGTTTTAAATTTCTCTTTATTTTTTTCTTGTAGTTGCGTGATTCCAGTGCCCTGGCAGTCAGGCTGAAGTTTTTCTGAATATTCGTCTTTTCCAGTTTTCTCCACTAATCGAATATGCATTGTATTTGATGTCGAGTAAAAATTCGAATGTGAATTTTTTTCGATATTTAGAGAGTTGTTTGTTGTGGAAATGTGATCGTGGTATTTTTGTACGATATTACGCTGTACTTTTAATCTTTTGTCACGTGAACAGTTTTATCATCGAGATCAAAGGTAACAAAATAATCCCAGAGCATACTTATATGTGGATCAGCATTTTATAATTTTATAGAAAAAGGAGATAATACGTTCGGTAGTTGTAAGACTATACGATTCCAAAAAGGGGTTTAATGGTTGTAACAAGTTAGTCCGGGCATGCCAGTCAAAAAGGTGACCAAACCAGCAGGTCCTGTTGTATACCAGCTGTATCTGGAGGACGTGTCTATCACCAGGTTTTGGTGTATGGTAATAACCATAATGCATGTTCTGTAGCAGCGCGTCTGCGACATCGCGCTAACCGCGCGGACAGTTTTCTATGACATCGCCCCAGAATGCATGGGATGTTTTTGTGGCATCGCTCCAGTGTTCACGACATTTTTCTGTGACATCACTCCAGTGTTCACGACATTTTTCTGTGACATCGCTCCAGTGTTCACGATATTTTTCTGTGACATCGTTCCATTGTTCACGATATTTTTCTGTGACATCGTTCCATTGTTCACGACATTATTCTGTGACATCGCTCCAGTGTTCACGACAGTTTTCTGTGACATCGCTTGAGTGTTCAGGACAGTTTTCTGTGACATCGTTCCAGTGTTCACGGCAATTTTCTGTGACATCTCTCCAGTGTTCACGACATTTTTCTTTGACATCGATCCAGTGTTCACAGCATTTTTCTGTGACATCGCTCCAGTGTTCACGACATTTTTCTGTGACATCACTCCAGTGTTCACGACATTTTTCTGTGACATCACTCCAGTGTTCACGACATTTTTCTTTGACATCGATCCAGTGTTCACAGCATTTTTCTGTGACATCGCTCCAGTGTTCACGACATTTTTCTGTGACATCACTCCAGTGTTCACGACATTTTTTCTGTGACATCGCTCCAGTGTTCACGGCAGGTTATGCATAGTTCACGACAGATTTTCGATAACATCGTCACATGCAGTGTGCAGAAGTTTTTCTGACATCACTTGGAGGTGACGTCGTACCGGTCTTTTCCTACAATTGCTTTATGAGTATAGACAATGTGTTGGATATACACATTACGATGATAATAAACAGCCTGAAACTGTTATTTTCTCTACCCACGATATATTATCAGAATACAGTCGCTATTCTCTTTGTATATAGAAGTGTTATAGTATTTATCGCCTTTACTTTGAGAAAAAAAAGACATATCTGGGATGGATTGATATACCTAATGGGTTAAACTACATATTCAACATATTTACAAGACATTAAATTATATGATCTGACCACACGGGGACATTGCAGAAGATTTATCACCCAAAATATACTCCAATCAAATCCCAATCAAATGTAAATAGAGTTATCTCCACTTAACAAACGTGAAATAGACATTATTTTATACAAATTACAATTAGATTATTAATTATGAATTGAATTTGATCAAAATCGATATCAAAAGTACATACTATCTATTATTTTAGATATATATTGACATCATTTCTGTATGTGTGTTGCAAGATGTTTCTATTGTTTTTTCTTCCTCTTCGTCTTATTATTATCATCATCATCATCATCATCATCATCATCATCATCATCATCATCATCATCATCATCACCACCATCATCATCATCATCATCATCGTCGTCGTCTTCATCATCATCATCATCATCATCATCATCATCATCATCATCATCATCATCATCATCATCATCATCATCATCATCATCATCATCATCATCATCATAACGTTTATATCTCAAATAAAGAACCAGACTTGTGACAATTAAACCACCACGTGTGCTAATACACATAAAAGAAAATAGAACATTTCCTTATCCGATGATAATGGCGACCATAGTCTCTTACTACATTTTCTGTTTTAAATTCATCTGTAGGAAACTTTTGGAAATAATATTTTTCAGAAAATCACTATCAACGGAGGTATGTTAGCTCCATAGTTTTTGAGTTTCACTATCAAAAAATGGGAAATGAACATTTTGAGAAAAAAAAATAAGCACGCTTTTAATACAGCGTAGTTAAAAGCTGACTTTTTGGTTGCGTTGTAGGTAAAGACATAGGAAAGGGTAAAATGTTTAGGTATGTAAGCTGGACATAACTTATAGCAAGATCATAAATCTTCCATAAAAGTGAAATTGAAGGACTTGAAAAGCTTATCGATCTATTCCGCCGCGTACGATAACAAAGAAACTCCTCTTCACCCATGGATGCTCCAGGCCCAATTGAGACAGAATTCTGTCTTGTCTAAGAAATGAAGATGGTTTTAAAAGATTCTGCTCTCAATCCCTTATTGTGCCTCGCCCCGCCCACCCCAGGATGTCAAGACCCACCATTTATACTGACCAAATTGGGACGGAATCCATAGAAGAAGGATTGTAAACAATTTACTCTATTTCCTCTACGGAAACTCTCCTCCCATGATATAGAGGATAAAGACGCGCCATTGCTTTAAAATTGAGTGCCTTTCACCTAAAATTTATCTAGACCAAATTTGGACAAAATTATTCCTACAGGAGCAGTAGGATTTTAATAAATATGCTCTATTTCCAATATTGGGCATCGTCCTCTCATCCCATGACCTAGAACCACCATTTATACAAAATTGATTCCTATTCATGCAGTTATGCTTCAGACAAAATTAAGGCAAAGTCGAATCACAGGAGAAGCAGAATTTAAAAAATTCCTCACTGCGCTCCGCCTCTTAAATCCCTTAGGGCGAACACCCAACATTTAATCAACACCGCTTAATCGTTTATGGCTAGGCAGTATAGTAAAAATTGACCTTTGAAAAAAGTACGCGAAAACAGTAAGCCCAAAGGGTATTAGAGTTAGTTCATATAAACAAAACAGATGTATTTCATCAATCAGAAAGTCAATATTTATCTCGAATATTTCATTCTTATATTTCTGGTTTATTACCTAGACATATTATTTCTGAACTCACAGATATATACTTGTTCCATAATTCCCATAACCACCGTACACTAGATTAAACAGCATCACCACAAGTCTTTAACCCACGCAAGAAAGTGAAAACACAAAATCACCAACAACATATTCAGTGACTCATTGGTAGACATCAGAGTAAGTTAAATCCTTGCTGCTGGGTTTGTATCGCTGTTTGTACGAGTGTCTAGGCTTAACCAGAGAATATTTCTATAAGTTTCGGTATTTAAATAACCATCCAACTCCGTTTTTTGTTCTGTAAACATTCATAAAAACGGACAGAAACTTCATGAAAATGTAATTAAAAACGGTACGTAGCCGTATTGTTCACTGTAACCTGATTGAGTGTAGCACTGAATCACGACAAGAAAACATGCATTCATTGTCTGATTGGTTTGATGATGCGAAAGTATAGGTTCCGAGATATCCTCACGATCCTTGGTGATTTCCGTCTGCAGGAAACATAAAAAACGTTTAGCAAGCAAGGATGAAAATATTAGATGCCTTATCTGTAGATATAAATGTAATTTGGTTTTATTTTTAGACTTGCTAAAGCTCGAGTATTTAATGTTCCGTCAGACTTTTACGTATTAAAGATACTTTTTTTCTAAATTTTATTTGTGTGTAAGGGTGTATCGGTGTGTGAGGGTGTATCGGTGTGTGGTGGTGTGTAAGGGTGTATCGGTGTGTGACGGTGTATCGGTGTGTGGTATTGTGTGAGGGTGTATCGGTGTGTGACGGTGTATCGGTGTGTGGTATTGTGTGAGGGTGTATCGGTGTGTGACGGTGTATCGGTGTGTGGTATTGTGTGAGGGTGTATCGGTGAGTGGTATTGTGTGATTGTGTATCGGTGTGTGCGGTGGTGTGTGAGGGTGTATCGGTGTGTGGTATTGTGTAAGGGTGTATCGGTGTGTGCGTTGGTGTGTGAGGGTGTATCGGTGTGTGGTATTGTGTAAGGGTGTATCGGTGAGTGGTATTGTGTGATTGTGTATCGGTGTGTGGTATTGTGTGAGGGTGTATCGGTGTGTGCGTTGGTGTGTGAGGGTGTATCGGTGTGTGGTATTGTGTAAGGGTGTATCGGTGAGTGGTATTGTGTGATTGTGTATCGGTGTGTGTGGTGGTGTGTGAGGGTGTATCGGTGAGTGGTATTGTGTGATTGTGTATCGGTGTGTGTGGTGGTGTGTAAGGGTGTATCGGTGTGTGGTATTGTGTGAGGGTGTATCGGTGTGTGTGGTGGTGTGTAAGGGTGTATCGGTGTGTGGTATTGTGTGAGGGTGTATCGGTGTGTGACGGTGTATCGGTGTGTGGTATTGTGTGAGGGTGTATCGGTGAGTGGTATTGTGTGATTGTGTATCGGTGTGTGCGGTGGTGTGTGAGGGTGTATCGGTGTGTGGTATTGTGTGAGGGTGTATCGGTGTGTGGTATTGTGTGATTGTGTATCGGTGTGTGTGGTGGTGTGTAAGGGTGTATCGGTGTGTGGTATTGTGTGAGGGTGTATCGGTGTGTGACGGTGTATCGGTGTGTGGTATTGTGTGATTGTGTATCGGTGTGTGTGGTGGTGTGTAAGGGTGTATCGGTGTGTGGTATTGTGTGAGGGTGTATCGGTGTGTGTGGTGGTGTGTAAGGGTGTATCGGTGTGTGGTATTGTGTGAGGGTGTATCGGTGTGTGACGGTGTATCGGTGTGTGGTATTGTGTGAGGGTGTATCGGTGAGTGGTATTGTGTGATTGTGTATCGGTGTGTGCGGTGGTGTGTGAGGGTGTATCGGTGTGTGGTATTGTGTGAGGGTGTATCGGTGTGTGGTATTGTGTGATTGTGTATCGGTGTGTGCGGTGGTGTGTGAGGGTGTATCGGTGTGTGGTATTGTGTGAGGGTGTATCGGTGAGTGGTATTGTGTATCGGTGTGTGCGTTGGTGTGTGAGGGTGTATCGGTGTGTGGTATTGTGTGAGGGTGTATCGGTGAGTGGTATTGTGTGATTGTGTATCGGTGTGTGCGGTGGTGTGTGAGGGTGTATCGGTGTGTGGTATTGTGTGAGGGTGTATCGGTGTGTGGTATTGTGTGATTGTGTATCGGTGTGTGCGGTGGTGTGTAAGGGTGTATCGGTGTGTGGTATTGTGTGAGGGTGTATCGGTGTGTGGTATTGTGTGAGGGTGTATCGGTGTGTGTGGTGGTGTGTAAGGGTGTATCGGTGTGTGGTATTGTGTGAGGGTGTATCGGTGTGTGACGGTGTATCGGTGTGTGGTATTGTGTGAGGGTATATCGGTGAGTGGTATTGTGTGATTGTGTATCGGTGTGTGCGGTGGTGTGTGAGGGTGTATCGGTGTGTGGTATTGTGTGAGGGTGTATCGGTGTGTGGTATTGTGTGATTGTGTATCGGTGTGTGCGGTGGTGTGTGAGGGTGTATCGGTGTGTGGTATTGTGTGAGGGTGTATCGGTGAGTGGTATTGTGTATCGGTGTGTGCGTTGGTGTGTGAGGGTGTATCGGTGTGTGGTATTGTGTGAGGGTGTATCGGTGAGTGGTATTGTGTGATTGTGTATCGGTGTGTGCGGTGGTGTGTGAGGGTGTATCGGTGTGTGGTATTGTGTGAGGGTGTATCGGTGTGTGGTATTGTGTGATTGTGTATCGGTGTGTGCGGTGGTGTGTGAGGGTGTATCGGTGTGTGGTATTGTGTGAGGGTGTATCGGTGAGTGGTATTGTGTGATTGTGTATCGGTGTGTGCGGTGGTGTGTGAGGGTGTATCGGTGTGTGGTATTGTGTGAGGGTGTATCGGTGTGTGGTGGTGTGTGTGTGTATCGGTGAGTGTGTGGTGGTGTGTAACGGTGTATCGGTGTGTGTGGTTGTGTGTGACGGTGTATCGGTGTGTGTGGTTGTGTGTGACGACATAAGGGTGTGTGTGGTGGTGTGTGACGGTGTATCGGTGTGTGTGTGGTGTGTGACTGTGTATCGGTGTGTGGTGGTGCGTGAGGGTTTATCGGTGTGTGTGGTGGGGTACGTGTGACGGTGTATCGGTGTGTGTAGTGGAGTGTGACGGTGTATCGGTGTGTGTGGAGGTGTGTGACGGTGGATCAGTGTGTGACGGTGTATCGGTCTGTGTGTGTGGTGTGTGACGGTATATCGGTGTGTGTGATGGTGGGTGACGGTGTATCCGTATATGTGTTTGTGTGTGACGGTGTATGTTGTGGTGTGTGACGGTGTAAGAGTGTGTGGTGGTGGTGGTGTGTGACGGTGTATCGGTGTATATATTTATATCATTGGCCAGCTGATCATCATTTCTATTCACACATTTCACATTTAATTAATCTTAATTCTGTATGCACTTCATGTCTACTTAACATGTTAACAACACCGGAAGTTTGGTAAGGTTATCTATAAATAATTAATTAATTAAGAAGTACGAGCTTTTATAAGATAAAGAAAAAATATTTTGGATTTTATGAGTTGTTTCTAAGTTTTAGTCACAGGAGGCCACATGAAACTCATTGAACATACCTATTATTCAAATATTTCCACTTTAGAAGTACATGTCTCCAACAATGTTAAGGGATTAAATTTAGCAGTTCAAGAACACTTTTGACGATAGTTTTGAAGATTCACTTATGCAATCAAGCGGACTACGACCTAGCTGAACTGCATGGCCCACTGCCATATTCGTACACAAGATTTTGTTTCAGAAAAATTAGTCTTTGAAACTGTTTAGGGGTCAGGACTCAAACACTTTGTTAACGTTTATTTTCTTCAAAAAGAGCCCTAATTAATAACTGTCACATGGTACGCATGAGATATTTACATACCACTTATCCAACTGGAACTTGACAGGTTTTCGCTTTCCTCTAAAGATGTTAAATGTTTATTATGTTTACGTGCTTCAGTAGTCAATATTCTGAGGAAGTCTTACTAAAAAGAATGGAGACATCATCAAAAGGTTGAGAGCGACAAGCGGTAGATTGAAGTTTTATTTTAGACAAAAATTTGGAAAAAGAGGCCCTAAAGACCTTTATAAGAAAGATGCCAAATAGGCCGAAAATGTTCAATTCTCTACCGCGTTTTAAAGAAGACGTGATCGATTAATAAAAAAAACCATGTTCTGCTAATTTGAAATCCAATTCCTTATACATGCTACACACAAAAACCATGACTCCGAATCTATTGCTTGCTGAAAAAGAAATTCTAAGATTTCAACCCATTTGACGCAAGAGACCTTGAAAGTAGGTCAAGATCAATAATTTAAATAAGTTGAGTAGACCTTCATCGCATTTTGTTAAAGAAACAATTCCAACAGACTGGACCTTTTTGTTATTGAGAAGCTGTTTGAAGATTTTAACACATTTGACCCATGTGACCTTGAAAGAGACACAAGGTCAGTCACAGAAACCAAATTGATATTTTTTCCACCTAGCTTGCCACAGGCCCAATATCAGCATCATAGGCACCCTGGTTATTGAGAAGAAGTTATTGAAAGACCTTTATATACTTGACCCCTGTGACCTTGAACAAGAGGGCTATATATCATGCTCATCCGACAATTGACAAATGGACGTACAAACTACAGATGTCGCTAATGGTGGCCTGACAAATCAGATGAATTCAAATTTTCCTCATTCCTTGAAAATATCAGAAACATTTGTGCAATTATGTTCCAAAATGACTTATGTGATTACCAGGTTGAGATTTTGATCAGGCTGAAAAATAACAATATATCTTTGACAACTGTTTTTTCCCCTTAACAAATCAAACTGTAATATTTTTCGCAATGGTGTGAAAGAAAACTTGGGAAGTAGTTCAGACTAATTTTCAAGATGAGTTATGTTGGGTTTTGGTACAGAGCGGAAAAATAAGTTTTCGTCAGGACAAACTTAGAATCACTTCACGTACGTTTGATATCGTTCTGACTCTTTAACTGCCAATCCTTACTAATGTTTCAATCCAAAATTTGGTTAAAATCTACAGAGGCATTAAGAGGAAGAAGCGTTTTGAAGCCAAATATTGTCTAACTGCCCATTTCAGGGCCCCGCCCCAAAGTCCCTAGGGGTCGAATCAAGTTTCTGAATACATGTACAGGAGATGATTCCCCACCCACAATGATGTCTCGGACCAAAGGATCTCTTTCAGGAACAATTGAATTTGCCCACGCACAAAATTAAATAAAAGTGGGTGGTATTTAAAGCACCTTTAGTGACAGCCCATTTTTTTCTTACTAAAATTTTGTCCCAATCGGAAGGCCGATGATAATTAGTCTCTGCCGACCCTTGTGGTTTTTTAAAGACTTTTTAATTAATTGGTGTAAACTGCATCCTGTCGATTAGATCAGTTTTATATTTCTTTTTTTTTTGTTTTTTTGTTAAAAGACTATTTTACCCGAACAAGTTCTTCCTGGATGTATACCGATAATATGTTGAAATGAACACGTAAGATCATAAATGTAAGATGGCGATGTTAGAAATTGAACATGAATAAGTGATGTAACCACTTCTGGGAAAAATATCACTAATTTGAAACGATAGTATCTCACATTCCTAGTTTATATTAATTATTATTTTTATTATTTAATATTAATTGCTTTTGATACATGACACACTCCCTTAAACTGCCTTACCTAGATAACTTATGCCCTCAAGTATAAAGTTCAAGAGACATGTAGTCTAATGGAGTATGGACAAGGTTTAACTTTGATGTAGGTCAATGATCAAAATGTAGGTCATAATGACTTGATTTAAGTACAGGACACGCTGCCTTATCAAGGTCGATCTATGTCCAGCGTGTTAAATTCAGTGTAGATGTTGCATGGACAAACTTTCAATTTGATGTAGGTCAAAGGTCAAAATGGAGGTCCTAGTAAGTTCCATTTAGTACAAGATTTATCGCCCCTCCTAGATGAACACATTCTTCGAGAATAAAGTCATAGTGTCTAAAGATGGACGGACACAACGCAAACTGATCTACCGCAAACCGATCATGAATCTACCAACCGCACCCCATCCTCCAATAATCACCCATATCATAATGTCTCTGGATCAGTCACTAGAAACGTACAAGTCTCCGATTAAAACTGGGTTTTTTTTGTAACAACTTGATTGAAAGTTTCTTCGTTACCTTGAAGCCTGTTGTTATCTTCCCTTTCTCGTACCATGAAAGCCTGTAAATGGTCCATGTAGTTCTGGTTACTGTCCCAACCAATTTCATTAATCTTTGCTTTCGATGTTACATCTATAGCTAGTTTTCATCATTAAATGACCCACTCTCGATTTCCAGTCTGTCGCGATTTTTTCCTGTTTAACCGCCATGAAATGCCCCTCTGCCTCCCTCCGTTTCCAGTCTGTTGCGATTATTTTTCCCTGTTTAACCGCTTGCGTTGTGCGAAATGCGTCCAATATGATATCCTGAAGCAAGATATTTCCCTCCACAATAAATGCGTTCATAGTCGTGCTTTAGATGATCGTTCATCTGTAGTGCTTTCTCATTGTTCACTTGTCCGGTGCATTGATTTCTAGCCCGACACCAGTAACGGTATGGCATGAATGTATTTAATATGAAAAGGATAAGAAAACACACGATGGCAAGGAATGAGTTTTATTGCTTATGACTGTCTGTGGTATGATATTACTACTACAAGCAGAAACTTGCTACCATGTGTCGGCATTATCAGGTTAGACTTACAACGGGAAAACTCAGGTACAGTGACCTATATTTATACTACAGTATATATTATACTTAAATACCATGTTATCTCCCCTTGTTTTTTTTATTAAAAAAAAAGATCTTTCGTGAACTCTGGTGAGCACACCTAACACAAATGTCTACACACGTTCTTTCATCTGACGGTAATACTGCTGTGTAGAGTAGGGTCACATTGGAATTTGAATAAAATAATACACAACAATGATAAAAGGTGGCAATCAAAACAAGTTTTACTTTTTTTTGTAGAATAACTTTCCATTAGAATGCCTTCATAAATAAATTTAATGTCGCCAAGAGGGATATCAATCATAGTTCCAATATAAGATCTGTTTAATATCTATACATAACAAAGGATAATAATAATTATTATATTTAACCAGTATAATAATAAATACCAAAATTAATTCAGACAAAATATACTCAAAAGTAAAGTTGATCTTTGATCGGTTGTGGTACGCTCTCGATCAAACTCCAACAATTCACACTAGCCAGCATAACATGTTCACACTCAAATATATACATGTACTCTCAAATATGACATTTACTATAAACTCTACGGAGAGAAAGTGGATCAGTGCTAAAGAGGGCTAGAACCCCTAGTTCCATACTCTAATTAGTAATAATAACGAGAGGCCAAGACATCAGTAGTATACAGGCTGTATACGGGGTTTGACTAGTGAGAATATCAAGTGATAATATGTTATATATCAAGTACCCCATTACTGGATAAAATATAGACTATATGTAATAATCATACAATGGTTTCCACGGTTACTTCTGTCATGCTGCATTCAATGTATAAGGACGTTTTGATTGGTCAACTTCTGTGATTGCCATTAAGGTTCAGAGGAGGATAATGCAGAACACTGAATAAATTTACTTTTTCAAAGTCTGCAACTAGCTATTGCACTTTGTAACACCCATCTCCAGTGTTATTGTCCAGTCTACACATACAAAAAGTCGAAAGGCACATCGTTATTTAACTGTACAACACACATGCAAACCAGGAATTTAGGGCCATATATACCTGAGCATATGATGGATGTAATAAAGTTATCTCCCTTTTCTTCCATGACAACCGTAACCAAGGAACCAGAGTAGCATTAGTGACTAGCAGGTTTATATTGCTTATGTTGGTAACAAGACTGATATAATGTACATACACATATGCTACTTTGTCAGTTGCTATTGGTTGCTGATATATCAATCCTTATCTATATACAAAAGCACTATACAGTGTCATCACGGATGGCAGTATCAATTTGGTCAAAAAATCCAAACTCATTCTGTTTTATACTCAAATCATATAGAACTACCCCTACTAAAATAAACGATACACAAATGTCTGTTCTGAAGGCCTTTGAAAGTGAATCAGGATTTCGGGGTTTTAAACACAAACGATTCAGAAGTCTTTTGGGGAAAAACCTGTGCCATAATATTTTATTACATGCATTTACATATATCATTAGATAATTTAAAAAAATCTTCTGTAAACCCCATATAAAATGAACTCTTCCATGAAATCACACCGGAAGTTGTAAGGTGGATAGGAGAAGTCAGAGATGAATGGTTCAACTCTCGGCCTCTGCGACAGCAGCGTCAGGATTTTCCTCCATTTCATCATCGTCAGATTTTTTCACATTCTCGTGCTTTTCATCCTGTAAAATAAAAGGCACTTTTTATATCTGGATAATTTTCACTTTTTTAATTTCCTTTGGCCATGTTTTACAACTATCCTCGTCACATTGTGTGTCAGAGCCATATCTTGTTGTTTTTTTACGACATTATAAACGAGTTCGATCAAGTTTTGTCACAAAGAAGCGTCATGAGAAAAAGTCATGCTACTGCATTGTACGCAGTAATCTATTCTTTGAAATAAAGATGATTGAAATAAAACGAGCAGCATTTAACCAATATCTAATCTAATATTTTGACATAAAGGCAAAGATCAAACGCATATATACACACTTCTATAATCTACCTAACAATGCAAAAATCAATTGCACCATCTACATCTTGATCAAAACCATGTAAAATCACACTAATATAATCTATAAACTTTCTTGGTCGTTGAGAATGGAGTAAGGATAACTATGTCGCAAAAAGGCGAGGCAGTATGCGAAACGAAATTATGAACAGATTGAATGAATAATTTAGATATGCGCGACTACGACAACAATAATTCAGTATACACATAAACTGCTGCTTCAGAAACTCTTTAAAATCTGTGCAAATTTTGGAACAGTCATTAAAGTAAACCAGAAAAGTAGAAACATACCTTTAAGGTATAGCTCAACAGAGTCAGCCTCAATAACTATTCGTTCTGAAAAGAAATCTCAAAATCAGCATTCAACAAACTCTAGCACACAACAAGGGCTACGATTACAAAGCTGCTGAACTGAATCTGAAGGAGGGAAAAAGATTTGTGAAAATGAAACAGTCTTTTCCAAGACAAATACCTTTTAAAGATAAAAAAAATATTTAATAGCTCCAAATCTTCATGTGTCACCATATTTATCGATATAAATTCTCGTTCAAAGCTTTTGATTAAAATTGTCCTTTAAAATGTGAAAAATCTAAGAACTTTGTAAAGAAACATAAATTGATCTTTTGGAAAAATATTACACAATTTACTTCTTAAATCTCTTTGGCTAGAAACCGCTATACAACTAGTAGGCACCGATAAAGTGATTTTGTATGTATGATATTGACAGCGGAAACATATTTTGTTATTATTTAATAACCTAATCTAATATGTCTTGATTGCTGTGTTGGGAATTCAAACAAGGTACATTATACATTTCAAGCATCGCACAAACTTTTCACAATTTCCTGACATGAATCTAGTTGGTCTACGGTCAAGAGCTGGTTTACCACCAGGTACTCTGTAAAGCAAACACCAGGTATATCTGGTATGTTGAGGGATCCAACTGAGATATTCTTTTGACATATATGTTTAATGATATTAGTAATTAAAAATACAATTCATTATCATAAAAACATAAGATACTGACTTTGGCAATGTGCCTTAATAATTTCTATCAAACATAATATTGTGCATTTGCGATAACTTTTCTTTAATTCTCAATTTTCTTCATGTTATTTTGTTACATTGATGTTTCCAACGTTTATTTCAAACATAACATGGTATAACTTCTGTAACGTGTCTTAAAGTCTGAAATGTGTCTTACTCGTTAAATTTGTATCATTTTTACATAATAGATATTTTATCTTATTGTTTCTACTCTGACCATGCTCTATCATTCTCAATTCACTTCTTTTCTGTCAACTGATGCTTGTCTACAGTAAAATAAAATAATGTTTGTAGATATATGCAACAAACAACACTCTTTTACTCTAAGTCATTGGGATTGATAATCGGCACAAATCGATAGAAAATAATTCCAAACCATTATTGACTAGATCCTGCATGCAGCTGCTACGAATAAATGAACACAAAAGTTTCCTGATAACGTCTAACAAACCTAAATATACCACAAAAAAATCTCAATTGACAAAAAAGTCACATGACTAAGTTGTTCGTCTCGTTTCATCAACAGAAATATCAATTTTGAGTGGGTACTGGTTTCAAATGGTAGACTTTTCATCCATTTAAGATATACATAAAAATACAGTTATTTTTTTCAAAATCTATAGTAGATCAGAAATCACAATTTCAAATTCCTTTCTTATAAAAGAAAATCAAGACATCTTTGTTTTGACGCAGTAGGAACAGTGTTATAATGGTTCATTTGATAATTGTAAGACAGAGGAATGGGTTGGGATAGGGTCATTTCATCACATAACCACCATACTGAAGGTCACTGGTGATATTCAGGGATGGGGATCAAATCATAAAATCAAAAGAGCTCACCAGTGACATGTCCAGGGATATTTAATGGTTATGTGATGAACAGAACTCTACACAGCATTGACTGGAGTCTTATATGTTAAAATAAGAGAATTTGTCATTTGTCATCGACTTAACGACAAGATTTTTTTATTTTCACATGGACACTTGTGTAGAATCCTTAATATCCTCCAATGGAGGAAATGAAATCATAAACAAGAAATACCGAGGAAAACAAAATCAGAAACAAAATTCATAATAAAAAAAACAAGAAAAGAATCATTCAACAAAAGGATGAAAGCAACGGCGTGAGGACTTTTTCTACGAAAGCAAAGATATCATTTTAAAACCATCTCTGAGAGACAAGAATAAAATAAATCAATATCTTGATTCTATTTATCTAAATCTATAAATTTTCAATGTTATTTCACATAGGAAATAAAATGGATTTGCACTCTTAATAAATGAAACCAAACAAAATGTAATTGAAGACAAAGTTTTATAAACTGCTCAATATTACTAAAACTAGCAAAGCTTATCACTTTGGCCATTCCGTTAATTCTCCTGAATATAAGTCATACGAGTTCTAATGATCATTGTGACAAAACTCCCTGTCCTGATATCATTAAGCACGCATTGTTCTGGTAGCAGGATCATATTCCAACTGTATACCTTACCTTTAACCTAGTATATTTTTTATTCTGCGCTCACTTCCGCTGTTTCCTAAATAGATGGAGGATGTCAATGTACAGTGTATTTAAATAAACTGATGAATCTGTAGCTCTAGGAATATGAGATGTGGTGTAACGATGTTTAGGTTAACTTTTAGTTGATCCCAGAAACCTACCAGCTAAATATCATGCTTCTAGGTCTGTTGGTTAATGAGACCTAACTTACAGTGCTTCAGATGAATTTATTTCAATACAAAATTTACAAAAATTCTTATAAATGTTATGTAAAGGTACGTGTGTATGAATTTTACACACATATCTGATGTCAAAAAGTTTAGCATATTTGTTATATATATAAAGGCAAGGTTGGTCTTCGTATAAATGATCTTGATGATTTCTAGATATATTTCATATGTTGGGCTTAGTATTTACAAAATAAATATGCAGGATAAACTACTGTTTCCGATTATAAGTAAATTTCAATCAAATACTTACTTCAACGTCCTCCTAAAGAGATTATTACTTTTTCTGCACTGTCTATCATTTAAGTCATTCTCTTATCAAAAGTACTAAATGCATGCGTATTTATGTTTCATTCCTTCGGAAAATAGTGGCTGACATTAAAATCATTTTTAGATGAACAACTTGTTTAAAGGCTTACCTATGCCTTTAGTGTTGTGAAACACTTGATATTTGAAAGCTCACTATTGCAACATGTATTTTTTGTTTTAATTCGACAAAGGATTACATTTAGCTGTTTTCAACATTTTTTTCTCTCATGGATAACAATCAATAGTTGGACGAATATTAAACATAGATGATACTCACTTCAGCTTCAGCCTAAATAGAGGAGTGTACCATGTATTTTAGAAGTTCAAATATAATAATAATACTGATATAAACCTATATATGAATGTGCATTTGAGTACGTTTCCATGGTCTCTAATGCCACTTTTAAAACAGGAATTCGAAGTCATCATTTTCATATTGAAACAAGTCGTACATAAACATCCGTGAAGTTAGTCCAACCTATTTGATGTCATCGTGTAAACACATTCTCAGGAGACTTTTATGAACCTTGTTGAGCAAATTGGTGAAATACTAATTAATTTGAACATCTATGAAAACTTTACAAATTACAGGACAACTTCTATAGTGCTGCTAACATTAACAACAAGTTACAACATTTGCAGAACCGACCACATAACAACCATTGAACCAACTAAATATACAAATAAATGTAGATAGATACATTGGTGACACTAGTATATGTTAGCAGACATTCGCACCCATGGAATCTATAAATGTTTGTATAATCGATATGAAGTTTTAATGTTTAAAATGGTCTTGGATGACATTTCAGTAAAAAATAATTAATAATAACAAAAGCAGATACAGATATTTAATCTTAATATAAATAAAAAGAAGTAATATAATGGATTTTGAAGGTTTTGGGTAGTTAATTATTTGAATTCACTTTAAATTGATTGGTAGTAAACTGAAAACTGAACCAGACTTAAAACAATTGAAGTGGATAATGTATACTTACTTCACCTTCTCCCTGTTAATAAAGAGAGAGAAAATAATTAATGTTCATGTTTTCAAAATCTTTCACAAAAAATAGTCCTTTTTTATTATCAATATCGATATCAGAATGCAGTTTTTTTAATGATATTTTTCACATTGAGGCAATAGAATAGAGTAGCATTGCCTAACAAATACATTAAAATAGCAATAAACCTTTGGCTGGTTACTCGTACAATTTACACAGCTCATGCTAACATTGTCATACAGAAATGCAGAATCTGTACAGTGTATTTCAAAATGTGACCACTTTAGTAATGCTTCAGTAACCAAATTTGTTGAAGTTGTCTGAAGAAGATTTCATGAAACACCTCATAGGAAAGTTTTTAAAAATTCCAAAAGCATGCTCAGCGATCAATTCTAACATGTCCTGAACATATCCTGACCGGGGTCATGTGATATGTCAAACTCACCCCTTCTTCGTCTACTGCATGTTTGCTTGAAGACTTCAGGTTATCACGGAAATCTGATTTTTTGGCTTCTTTTCTTTGAATTTTATCCAGTCTATGAATCAAAAGATAATCATATAATCAAAACACAATGTTGATGATTACTTTGCCTTGTTTAGAATTTTGTGACATTTCTATGATTGCTGGCTTACATAGAAGTGTATTGGATACTTATCTGGTAGATTTGCATAACATTTGGTAATATAAAGACAAATATTATTCTTTTAACTTTATTGTTAATTAATGTAAAATCATACATTTTCGGGGATCTCGTTTTTCAAAAATGTATTGTTTCATGGATGATTGATTTCGTGGCTAAATATAGCTCTTTAAATGTACTTACACGGATTCTAATTGCTTGCGGATATATGAATTCATTGATTAAAAGTATCAACAAAAATAAGAGTACCAACGAAATCAACGACGATAAATTTCCCACAAAAATTAAGGTTTTTGCAGTATAAGGATGGCTTGAAACAAATTACTTACTTGCTTTCTGTTTTGTTAACTTTTCGCAATACAGGTTTAACGCTGCAAACAAAATACATATCATTTAACAGCGTTTCGTTCCTCTCAATGAATACTAAAAAGATGTGGTTTTGGTGATTTAGATCATAGTTCCTTTAGAAATACAAAAAAAAATATTAAGGATTTAAATTATGACCTCAAAGCACACGTTTCTCAGTGAGACAATGCCTTGTGACAGGAAGAGTAGCAGAGATTGAAAATGTAACAACTTATTACTTCATTAGAAATCAACAAATAACCGATATTTAATAAAGACATCAATTTATTCAAGCAAAGATAATCACAATTAACTCAAAGATTCATAGCAACACGACTCAAAAATTGACTCAAAGATTAAGAGCAACAAGCCTCACAAATGATAATTCAAAAGATCCATAGCTACCAGACTCGCAGAAAAAGAAAATTTACTCTAGTAGAGAGCTATCACTGAAGAAGGATAATGTATACACCCGGAAGTAAGGATATGAGGAAATAAGCCATTCATTATTCTGTTTCATGTTTCCCCTAATATATGAAATCTGAATAGATAGTAATATACTTACAATTTACCCTTTGTATCATTCACTTTAAGTGTCAACTCATTAATCTGTAAACAAAGAAGACAACAATAAACTTAATTTTTAACAAATAACAAGTCATTCTACTCTCTGCTTCCATCAAATCCATAGCAACATCTGTTACATTGTTCAGCGACTGAATATTTAAGAAATATAATAGCCTGGTGATTTTTGGACATCTGCCAAATATATGCACTTCCATTTCCTCTTCATGGAAAGAAATACCTTAGAAAGCAATGACAAATATTTTCAATATCAATTTTGGGTACCGAGCATCTCTTACCTCGAAATCTTGTTTGCGAATCTTAGCCTCCCAGTCGTAAACATCTTCTTCGAGTTGTGAAAGCCTCTTGTGAAAATCTTTACAAAGAGCTTGGAGAGCAGCTACAATATAGAGGTGAGTAAAAAGTGTATATTACTATTTTCAAATCACCATGATGTAAATATATTAAAAAAGGTAAAAAGATGATATTGCAATGCATAAATTGATTAAAAATCCTTTCTATAAAATGCTGCATGTAACATACCAACCAGAATATTGTATTCAGTTCACAGCTATGTATTGACCTTGCAGATAACATGATGTATCCCAGTACTTATTTTATATTGCAGTGATAATCAGCAATCAACCAGGAGCACAGATAGTAATACCTTATTTTGACAAATAGATTAATCATTGAAAAACTGAAACATTTGTGCTTCTGCATGCTTAATTGATTAAATCAAATGAAAATTAAGAAACAAAGAACAAAAATTAAGGAAAGTATGTATGAAGCATGCAAGGGATTTATCAATGTGTTTCAGTTAATATCAACAATCTTCCTAATTGTTTCAAGTCATCTAATATCAGAGGCTTAGAAAACTTCTATAAAGTTAAGATGGATTGGACTACAATATCAAAACAAAGGTCCAATGGGCCTGCATTGCTCACAATTTTTTTTTCTTGAAATTTTGTTGGGCTTTGACCAATAAAAACCTTTCCACCAAATATCATGCTTCTCGGACTTTTGGTTTACCAGAACAAATCTTTTACAGGTTTCAAAAAAATTGATTCATTTGACCTTCAATATGGGTCAAGGTTGCAACCTTGAACATGCATTAAGGTCATTTCTTTTTGCAAACACTGTCAAGCTTCATCATAGGGACATACCCGCTCGCAGTTTCCAGTATATCATACGTATGAACACTGACAGCTTCTGGGATACATATTTTTTTTTTTTCAAAAAAGGAACATGTAATGGTATGCACCTGTTGCATATTATAGGTTAAGTAGTAAGTATGATTGTAACATTTCAATATTATGATTATACATCCATGGAAATAAGGATTAAGGAAACTTGGAACCAGCAAAAGCTAAAAGAGAGACAACCATGTGACATTATATTCTGTTATGGAATTATACATATTGTGTATATGTAAATACTTACCATGTAATATATACTCATACATGCATAGTATATGGGTGTACCATATATGGGCAGAATGGTAAAGTGTGAAAATACATGGAGTCATTCAAAAGAAACATGGATCAAAATAAAACTTAAAAGGACAAACAACCAAATGTAACTCTAGTTTAAATAATTGTCTGTTGCTGTGGCAACCAAGATCATGCTGCCCTACCTACATCCTTTCCATCAGTGCTAAATTTGGGTACGAGGTCATTGATATATTTCTCCTTAGCCTCTGCCTTGGCTTTGGCCTCGTTTTTCAAGTCCTCCGCTGCTTTTTGCATGATGAGTTTCTAAAAACAAATCCTTTACAATGATTTCTGGCATTCCCAGAAACAAAAACACAGAAAATCAATGTCAACAAAGGTGGGGAGAAAAACACTTCTCTTTCAAGAATTTTTGTTAAAACAGAAATTATGTTTCCTTGGTAACTGCCAATGTATATCTACATCAAGAAAACCATGCGTTGGTTCACCAATCACATGCTACCACTCCTAAGTCTTCGTCATTTGTATTTTTGTGGGTTTTTTTTCCACATGCTTCAGTCTCTACCAATCACATGCGCAGATTGCTGATACTATAGTAGGTTTTCTTTTGTATAATTGGAAACTAAGAAAGTCATGCCAATTTGCAGGACAAGCAGGAATGTATATTAGACAGCACTTGTAATGGAATAGGCCCAAATATAAAAACACAACAGAGTAACCAACCATCACTGTACACAATATACAGGGTGTGACAAAGATAAAATCCATTGATTCCAAATTGATATGAATCTCCTGTTTCAATGTAAGCCAACAAGTTCAGCAGTATGTAACGTTAAAAGGGATGGGGTCAGAAATACCAAACCACTTGTTTCGGGGAAAGGACTGAAATCCTGAATACCTGTGCTGGCAATGATATTTTTTCTCAATATGAACCTCCATTTTCAACCCATTGTTACCATGTTGGGCATCAGCTATTGACAAGCATTAGTATACACACTTAGTGCTGTACAGATATACATGGTAAAATCATAAATTTTTGTGGAATGGAATTTTAGTGGTTTTTCAAATATATAGTCTAATTTCATGGGCACTCTATTTTGTTAATGAAAGGCTGTCTCCATTCTACTGACACTAAATATTCACAACAAAACTTTTCACAAATTTCTGTTTTGTTGATTTTGTTAGATTCAGAGTACCCATGAAATCAAGGAAAATGAAAAACCTACCAACATTAATGATTACACAGTATGTAGTTATATTTTCAAGTTAAAGGCACATATGGTAATGTGTATATCACATAAATATTTTCATCAACAATGCAATTTAACCTCTTTTAATCTTAATTTCAATAAGTGTTTCATATTTAACCAATGTCAAAATGGTTGGTCTCTACTTTCTTAACTCTTTTTAATTTCTTTTTTTATCTCTATCAATTTTTGTGAATACCCATTTTCTGCCAATATACATGTATATGCCTTTAACGTTAAGGAGTTTATGAGGTGAGCTAATAAATGATAATTTTGTTTATGATGTTATTTTTCACACAACAAACCTTTACTCATGCAGGTGAGATCAGGAAGAGGTTGTATTCGTTCACTTAAAACTCTCTTCTTCTCTGCTTCATAGTCTACGTCGTCAATGTCGTCATCATCAGAGGTGTCGTACTATTTCACACACATGCAACAAAAGTAGGACGCATGCAATAATTGGCTCAAATCATAGACTGTATTCAATATACTACACCAAGGTCAGAAACATTGTCTGAGACTGGAAATTTCAGCGAAAACCAGATAAATGTCAACCAGAACATGTCTTTTTACTTCTAAAGAAGAAATCCACATTCCTAAGCAAACAAGAATCTGATGATAATCTAGAGTTAATATGAACCAAATTTTTTGGGAGGTTATTTGGCTCGAATCAGTATATCTTTCAGGTATACATATAAAGGATGATCATGCAATGTCATAGCTATCCTCTTATACAGTCAGAACACCACAGGATGAACCTTCGTGTCCATTGAAAGCTACTACAAGCATATCTGATGAAACAATAGAAAAACTAACTTCCTCACGATTTTTTTTAATTGGTCGCTATTTACATCCCAAAACAAATATTATATGACACCAGTCTTTAATTCAGTATCCATATCTTATCAAAAACATACAAAAGTGTTGATAATTATCTTCTATTAAAACAAAAAATCAAAGCCTTTACATGGCATGTTTATATCCCGAGCAACAGGGTTACAATTTCCACGTCAATGCTGTAAAACTAAAAAACGAAGGATACAGTAAAGAGTTTGCATGCGGGATAAAGCGAGTCTTATCTTAATGTTTCCATGTTTAATATATTGACATTCAAATATTCCATTTACAAACCCCTATTAAAAGTATGAGATGTTAACTGCTATTTGTATACTGTAAACAGAGACATTTTAGCGATTGTCTCATTTTGGCACTTTTCACACTTGATTTAGAGCTAAAATATCGATTGTGAATGTGTAAAGTCAGCATTGCTCTTTATTTTTCAAAATTTATATTGCATTTCCATCGAATTGCACCAAAAATGTATGGTTTACAGTACCATATCACAGGGTATTCTAGGTATACACAAAAAAATTGTTAAATTTATAATATATATGTCATCTCCATAATTCTGTAAAAATAAAGGGTAAAAATCATGCTATATTCTGAAAATCAACATAGAAAACAAAACAGGGCTTTAAACACTGTCAACATACAAAGGCAGATTACCTTGAAATCACATTTAGATTTAAATACAAACTGACTGATATGCTCGTCAGTTTGATGCTTGAACTGTTTGCAGATCATACCATTCAACAGGAAATGAGTGTTTTATTTCATTCTACAGTAAGAATTTTATTTTCAATCTTCTTTGCCGTATGTGGTGGAATCGGATGAAAAATCAATTTAATGTAAATGAAACGAAAAAGTATTCAACTATGAAAACATAAACATGAACAAATAATATACAGTAAATCAGAATTATGGTATAAAGGTATGATATGATATAATTATTGCTTAAAATATGATAACTTTTACCATGTCTACTTTCAAACTTTAAGTTAATACATTACCTTCACTGAGAAACAGCTGAGAGCAGCATAAATAGATAATAAATGATAATAAATCGAAATGAACTGAAATACACAATTATTGTATGACATTGTTATTAGTATAGTATACTATTATATTAGCTACAACATACATGTTCTATTACAATACATTTATGCTACTAGTTTTAGTACTAGTATACATCTAGTTACTGACATACAGAAGCAAGAAAAAAGATCTACAGCGACCTACTTTCAACATCTTCTTCTTCTCTGGGGATAGACCACCCAGACCCTTCTTTTTTTTCTTCTTTTGTTCCTCCGCCATTCTTCTGGCTTCCTAGTAGCAAACAAAATTTGTTGCCTAGAAACCACTTTTTTATTATAGAAACAATAGGAAGACAAAAACTTTCCGTTTCTTGCCTTACAGCACGTATCACATTATCCTGTATTCATTCGTAATTTGCAATGAGTCAATCAATTATTCAAGAATCTAAGGAGTTACCAACTGTTTGGAAAGTGTTAGGATAAAAACATAACATCAACTAAGCTCCCATAAACACACAACAAATATCACATTTGAAAGCAAATTTTCTTATTGTGAACACCTACCCTTATTTCCAGTAAAATCAATATCTACCTTTCCATGTAATATTTGTTACCAAGCATACCACAAGGACCAACAATAAATCACAGATGACCTTGAACTTTGACCTATGTTAGAAAGATATCCAGGACAAACTATCAGCACAAGGAACTAGGAAAACAGAGTAACAACTAACACCAAATGAACAGCGACTAAAACCTTGGGTGAATTTTGTCTGATATGCTGTTAGTTAAGGGTTCTTTCAAGCTTTTTCTTGTTTTTTTTTTTTTTTTTTGTCAATTCGAATGTTAGAACATATACATATACTGATAATTATTAATCCTAAGAAGCCACATTTATCTCAAACATAAAAGGCAAAAATACTGACCTTTATATGTAGAATTACGCTCCTTGTTTGCATGTCCAAACTGCTTTCTTTATTGAAAACTAAATGTACACCTTACACTTTCCAAACATTATAGCATTCCTAATTTGTAGAACTGTTACTCAGTGTCACAAACATTAAAACAACATATCTATTTACAGGATAATGCTGCAGTGCTACAAAAAAAACAAATCTGAAAAATTAGACAAAAAAAATTTGGAATGATTATTTCACATTTTTGTGCCAGCTGCCAGGATTTGAAAAGAATGGTGATTGGTTGTTGTTTTTAAAAGTGGCAATGCTTATATTCTACTGGTTGTTGTGTTACCCAGTCTAGCCAATCAAAATCATGCACATTCATGTGCTCACACATTATTGGATAGTTATGATGTTCTGCATTCATGCAATGCACTAGGCTATAGATTTTATGATAGTTTGCTTCCATTCTGAGATCAGTCATATCAGTTTCATATATAAATTCTTCTGTTGGAAAAAATACTTATGAAACATATTCATATTGTAACAAAATTTAAAAATATTAAGGATCCCTCTTTTTACTATCTCAAGAAATATTTGAAGATGACATTCTAATTTTCAATTAACATTGTGCTTACTAATGGTGATATTAAATTTCTTTTTCAACAAAGAAAGTACTGTTGTAAATAGTATTCTCTTATCAACTTAACATGGACAAATTTTTCACCTGACTGAGTTTTATCATTCCAATAAAAATGTATTTATATATTCATACTTTAGATGAATATTTATTTCAAAAATGATATAGAAAAGACTATTTGATATTAAATGACATGCAATCACACAACTACATGTATCTGAGCTCAGTCTGGCAGCAACCCAGTGGGATGACTGTTCTACGGAACTCTAAGGAAGGTGAAGAAGCAAGTACAAGCACAAAATAGATTTTCCATCAAAAGTAAATTTCCGTTCTAATATCTAAAGCTATAATTTCCTAATTTCTACAGTTTTGATGCTACAGTTATATAACAAATAGAACCTAATTTGAAAAGCATTGCCACTTTTGAGAGAAAGAGAGAGAGAGAGAGCTTTTAGAGTTATACCCTTGGAGTGAAATTTCCTTTCACTAAGGTACAGAAAGTGCTCTCTTTGGGAGGATGGGTCTGGTTGGAATGCTCGTCTTTACACAAGAAGTTTCAGCATGCAAACAAGATACAAACATGGAGTGATGGTTCTCAATATGGTCACGTCAGAGATGTGATATTGTAGTGGACACAAAAACAAAGTCTACACACATGTAGAGATCATGATGGATGTTAGGTTGATAGCGTGAGACTGTTGGGGAAGAGCTCAGAGGATACCTTTTTGTATGTCTGTGAAGACAGTGGGAGATCAACAACATTGAATGCATTCACCAGGGTTTGTTTTTCAAAATTTACTTTCCATAATTTTACGGATAGCATGATTGTGTATTTTGTCTGATCAATAAAGCTTGTACCTTTTAAATGATATGCTTACACATACATGTAAAATAGTCATTCCAAAAACAAATACAGGCAAAAAAAAATGATGTCAAGAGTTAAGAAATGAAAAAAAAAAAAAAAAAAAAATTGAATAAATAGAAAAACCGTAAAATGACCTAAGGTTTGGGTCTGAATTTCATTGCACACTCAGGACAAAATTTGCACAATGTATTTTACACAGTGCATCTGGTCCCTGGTCTGTTCCTAAGGTAATAAGGAGCCTATTGGTTGGTGAGATGAAAGTTACAATGACGATGAAGATGATTAACTACAGCAATAATACCAGACATACGTGTACGAACATGACTCTAATGCTACAATATGGCAATCAATCTCTACGGTGTTGCCATGGAAGCCGATACAAACCGTCTCTATGAGCTTTTGGCGCTCTTCCTCCTCACGATCTCTCTCAGCTTGCTCAAGCTTCTCCCTTTTAATCCGTTCTGCATCAAGCTTTTCTTGCTCGATTCTGGCTTCTTCATCAATCATTCTTTGGGCCTTAGACACAGAAATAACTTATGAAGGACCTCTACCATGGTCTGATGAAGGGCCTCTACCAAGTTACCCTTGATGTACTGATGGAGGGCCTCTACCAAGTTATCTTTGATGTACTGATGGAGGGCCTCTACCAAGTTACCCTTGATGTACTGATGGAGGGCCTCTACCAAGTTACCCTTGATGTACTGATGGAGGGCCTCTACCAAGTTACCCTTGATGTACTGATGGAGGGCCTCTACCAAGTTACCCTTGATGTACTGATGAAAAAATTACCAAGCTACCCTTGAAGAATTGATGTAGGGCCTCTACCAATCTACCCTTAATGGACTGATGAAGGGCCTCTAATATGTTACCCTTGATGTACTGATGAAGGGCCTCTACCAATCTACCCTTAATGTACTGATGGAGGGCCTCTAATATGTTACCCTTGATGTACTGATGAAGGGCCTCTACCAATCTACCCTTGATGAACTGATGAAGGGCCTCTACCAATCTACCCTTGATTAACTGATGAAGGGCCTCTAGTAGGTTAACCTTGATTAACTGATAAAGGGCCTCTAATATGTTACCCTTGATGAACTGATGAAGGGCCTCTGATATGTTACCCTTGATAAACTGATGAATGGCCTCTAATATGTTACCCTTGATGTACTGATGAAGGGCCTCTAATAAGTTACCCTTGATGAACTGATGAAGGGCCTCCACCAATCTACCCTTGATGTACTGATGAAGGGCCTCTTAGGTTAATCTTGATTAACTGATGAAGGGCCTCTAATATGTTACCCTTGATGAACTGATGAAGGGCCTCTGATATGTTACCCTTGATAAACTGATGAATGGCCTCTAATATGTTACCCTTGATGTACTGATGAAGGGCCTCTAATAAGTTACCCTTGATGAACTGATGAAGGGCCTCTACCAATCTACCCTTGATGTACTGATGAAGGGCCTCTAGTATGTTAACATTGATGTACTGATGAAGGGCCTCTACCAATCTACCCTTAATGTACTGATGGAGGGCCTCTAATATGTTACCCTTGATGTACTGATGAAGGGCCTCTACCAATCTACCCTTGATGAACTGATGAAGGGCCTCTAATTTGTTACACTTGATTAACTGATGAAGGGCCTCTAATATGTAACCCTTGATGTACTGATGAAGGGCCTCTAATATGTTACCCTTGATTAACTGATGAAGGGCCTCTAATAAGTTACCCTTGATGAACTGATGAAGGGCCTCCACCAATCTACCCTTGATGTACTGATGAAGGGCCTCTAGTAGGTTAACCTTGATTAACTGATGAAGGGCCTCTAATATGTTACCCTTGATGAACTGATGAAGGGCCTCTGATATGTTACCCTTGATAAACTGATGAATGGCCTCTAATATGTTACCCTTGATGTACTGATGAAGGGCCTCTAATAAGTTACCCTTGATGAACTGATGAAGGGCCTCTACCAATCTACCCTTGATGTACTGATGAAGGGCCTCTAGTATGTTAACATTGATGAACTGATGAAGGGCCTCTACCAAGTACTAATGAATAATATCTACTTACTACTAAGAAATGATCTCTACCTTATATTGATGAGGGATCTCTACTATCTACTGATGAAGGGTCTTGATAATTTAATGTTGTACACTTGACCTTTGTGGGCTGTAGTAATCATACACTTTAGAATTCCTTTGATTTGACAAAGGATTCAAAATAGTAAGGTGAAATCAAAGGTTCTCCTCCTCAGTCTATTAATTTGAATCTACCAATTTAAATTAAAAAAAAAAAATCAAACGAAAGAGTAATGCTCAATTTTCTTCTAAAAATTTTCATATATATTATCAATATGCTTACTGAGAAATCAGATCAAATCAGACGATAGATAATTATTTCACATACATCTTATGGTTCCATAAATGAGTTTTTATTCTTAACATTAAACAATTAAAACACATTCAAATTAAATCTATATAAAGGGCATTATTTGTTTTTCAAAAGCATTGCATTTTCTTGGAAAACTTGTATATAAATGTTTCTTCAGAGAAATTAAAATCAAAACAAGTATCTTACTTCTCATTTAAAGATGAATTAATTGATCATATGAACATGTTTACACTGATAAGGCGCTGGATGCTTCGCTTTGCTTGAGGAACGCACGTGCACGCTGCTGCGAACGCTGAGCTTCCAAATGTCACACTGACATAATTTCGCTCAACTTTACACAACACACAATACACAATATCCAAGGCATTCAGTATATTGTAGCACACATTATATCAGTCGTACAATATCATACAAGTATCCAAGAATGACCTGCGTTTGAAAAGAACAGTAGCCTGAGGATAGAGAACCAATGATAACACGAAATGATTGTATACACAGACAGATAACTAACCTCTTCTCTCTCTTGTTCTTCGCGTTCAAGTCTCAATCGCTCTTCTTCTTCCTGTTAAAGAAAATAAGAAAAAGGAAATATTAGAGAAAAACATAAACACAAGTCAAAATACCAGTATTTATAAACCAGTGATTATCATTGTTATGTAAAAAGTATATTTTAAAACTACGTTACATAATATACAAGAAGGACTTTATTAACTTTTGGTCGTTTTTCACCTTTCAGAATATTGTATTTTTGAGCTGTTGTTCCTAGTAATTCATACAAAGTGCTTTATGATTTTTGGACTGTATCATCAAATAAAAATTGCATTTGGTATATAATATCCAAGAATAATTTTTAAAATGTTTTTGATAAATTCTCAAATAAGAACTTAATATGTTCAAAATGTTGAGGAATCAGAGATTCTGTAGAAACTTGGTATCCACAAGCTGAAATACTAATTGCTATTATGATGTTGAATGCCTTAAAATCAAAAACATTTCCCTGAAACTGAATCCTTTTACAATTTGTTATCTAAGAATTGACATTTAACCTGCAGTCAAAAAACAATGTTTCGTGAAGTTGTACAAAAAAGATGTTGTAAAGACTCTTACCTTCTACCCTTAGTTGACAGAACACCAAAGAACTAAAACTCTTCACCATCAAGACACACAATATAAAGTTTGTAGATTTCACCACTGACCTTGACCTTGCAACAAGCAATGCATGGTGCTAATTCTTTTTCTAATGCTGAAGTTTGACAGCACAATATTGATCAAGATATCAATGTAAACTTGTGACCTTGTGATGAATCCAAGTAAGTTTTCTTACGTAAAGATCACTCCCGTAGAGGTACGGAAGTTGCAATCTTGGCCTTGAACATTTAGCATAAGCAAAAGTGATAACACACCAATAAATAACTATAAACCAATTTAACAAAACAAGAAATTAATAAGCAAGACTAATATAGTCAGATAATATATCATCATATTACATCTACTCCAGTGTCACTTTCCTTTCCTAACTGAGTATATAACATCTACTCCAGTGCCATTTTCATTTGCAAACCGAGTATGTTACCATCTACTCCAGTGCCACTTTCCTTTGCCAGTCTAAACAGCTGAACACATAAGAAACTAACCTTTTCTTTGCAAATAGCTGTAAAATCAGATACCTAATAATGCCAAGAATTCAAACCACTGACCTCAGCTAATACTTAGAACTCCTTATTGACCTGTAGGGAGTGAGCCAGAGAGACTTGCCAAAGCTATGGAGTTTGTACAATATCTCCGTGAGTGAAGCTTATTGACCTGTAGGGAGTGAGCCAGAGAGACTCGCCATAGCTTTTGAGTTTGTATACTATCTCTGTGAGTGAAGCTTAATGACCCGACTTACCAGCCGACCTGTATAACTTCTGTCCAAGTTAAAACTGTTTGACCTTCGGATAGTAGGTAGTCTATTTTCCTGGAACGGGCAAAGCATGCTCATGCTCAACAAAGTCACACAATTAAGAAAACATTTTCATCCCAAAATAAAAAGGAGGGTTTAATTTCAATTGCAGTCTTAACATTTGAACACTCTGAAAACTTGTTATTTTTCAATGCAATAATACAACACTAACATGCTGATTAACTTATTGTAACACATGCCACTCATTCTTATGTGTCCAGTGCTGAATATAAAATCACTTTCATCGGCAGAATTCTAAAGTAAGGTCTTCTAATTACAGACCCATGTGTAGATAATCTTAATATCAATTGTACCTATGTAACTTTCAATGAATTTAATAGATGCGTTTCATCAATCAACTTGTCAGATTTTAACATCAATGAATTCGAATAAAAAAAAGTTTGAGAAAACTTTTGTTTTTATCTATCCCCAACATTTTCTACATGTTTAAATCATAAACTTCTTGTACATCATCATACAGTTTGCAGTAGCTTACTTTGTTCAGTTCGGGAGATAGAGAAGACAAAGGTCGTGACCTTGAGAAGCTAGAGTTGAGAGAGTCAGTTTGATCATGCTGCCATCTATCTGTAACTTTAGAAAGAGAATTCCTGGCCCGCCATCTAGCGACAACATTATCTGTTGTATCAGAAGAGGTGTCTGAGGACAGAGACCATTTACGTCGCAGTGATGACCCCTCTCTTGGTGACAAAGGAGAAGTTATCTCCCCTTTAGAACTATCAACACTGTTAAATCGAGCAGTCAACAGTGAAATTTTCTCACTTTTTCTTCTCTTTTGTTCACTGGAATCATTATCCGTATTTAATGAAATAGTTGAAGTGGAACGGTAAGTTCTTTTTGTCAGGTCAATTGGTTCATGGTTCCAACGACCCACCACTGACGGACTATCTCGCCAGGAATCCGTTTTTTCCTGTTGGAATCATAGAGGTATACTTGTCTGAATCTGTGTATTGCTTATATACTGTATATTTTTTCAAGTAAATATTCTAAAAGAATGCAGCCTCTTTGAAATCTCAGAAGAGCAGATCTAGTTTAGAAAAAGAAAAGATTCAATATGTCTGCACAGCATATCTAAAGTGATTTTAATCTTATAATTTCTGTTATGACAGGAAGGAATCATCTGTGTTATGTATTCTTGCTTACATTGATGTGTTGTTCACTGGAACTGAATTTTCCCAGTCTTGGTGAGTTGCCATTTACCATTGTTTTCTGGCCTTGAAACTGTGGGAATGCAACACATAAAGAATTGGACGAATGTGTTCTTTTGTACTAATTGCCTCCAGTTAAAAAAGTAAAAACATACCTTGATACATAATACTTGACTTTTACTTCAGACACATCTTCATAACCTTTAGCTAGTTGTTCAGGATTTTACCATACACAAATACATGGCTCATATATTTTCTTCCAAATAATCAGTGTAAATTTAAAAGGTGTCATTGAAACTTATGTATCGAAGAAAAGTAAAATCAATTCTTGTGTACCTCAGAAAGGCATCATCAATTCTTGTGTACCTTTGAGAGGTGTTGTGAACTTTAGGATGTTGTCATTGAATCTTGTGCATCCAAGAAAGGTAAATCAATTATTGTTTACCTTAGAAAGGTATAATTGATTCTTGTGTGCCTTCCAAAGGTGATATAATTTCTTGAAAGATATTTGAAAAGAGCCATACAGTTTTAAAATACCATTAATTCTTGCTTAATTGTCAAAATTTATCAAGTTCCAGTAATCATTTGCAAGACATTTCTACAAGGTTTGAACCACTTCATGGTCGTCACACTAAGATAATTTTAGGTTTAACAGGATCAAAATGAAACAATAAGAGCCTACACTGCATTTTAAGTATGTTCTTACTTTTTTCTGTATATCCTTCAATCTGTCTGTTCCTTGTGCTATTATTTTTATTTCAATTTCTCTGTGTTTCTTTGGGTCACTCTGTAAATGATTTCATAACATTAAGATAAATCGTACAACTACGTGAGACAACAGATCTATATGGTGACCCTTGCCGATGTTTTTACATGGCAAAGCTCTGATACTGCAATTTTAACCCAACTTACAACCATCAAAAATTTCATTATGATTTGTATGGTTAAAAATTGTTTGAAAAATTGTTCATCAATACATATACATTAAATATTGTTAGACACAACCAAAGAATATATACATCAGTTATAGAGTACACTGAATTGTTCCCCCTAAATTTATTTTCTTAAATTAAGAAAATATCTAGTCTAATATGTGAAAAAATATTGGTATATCTTTAAATTCTTGTAAAAAATAATATCTGCCAATATTGCATACCCTTGGTGTCTGATGAAGGTGCATACTAGTTTCAAACTTGACCAATTGTTCCTGTACGAGGTTCAACGGATTATCCTCCATATTATCTATAGGCTGTAATTCAGACATCAATATTTCACCAGTATTGTAGAGTCCTTACATTTTAGCAAGGATTTTATCTAATTATAAGACTGCAGCAATTTTATCAAGAGGAAATTAAAATCTTTAAGACTTTAGTAAAGATGTTGTACAAAGTCTAACCTCAGAGGATAATTTAGAAATTACATGATGACCAGGTAAAATTACGAAGTTTTCAATTAAATTATTCAAACTATAACTTTTATTAAAGCATTGCTGTGTGAAGACTATATCCTATTATAGTATCAAATAATTCAATTAAATTTTGAATTTTTAATGTTATCATCCACTTATCATCAATACATCTGAGATAAAGTAATAAGAAAAATTTAAGTACAGTGATGTTAATATTAATCTTACTGGGCTTTTTATTGAATTTTGACGTTTAACTGGCTGTAATGCATGGCCATTTGTTTTAGGTGATTTGTCTTCTTTAGGTTCAAAGAAGGATTTGAGTTTGCCTGCCTTGCCCTCCTCTGATATTCGTCGTACTTCAAAACTAGTGCTAAATGACTTCTTTGACCATTTCTCGTTTTCCTCCGCTTTCTGACCTTTGTCCTTTGTATCACCATTTGTAACAGATGTGGGACGCGTTTCATGCTTTTTTCGTTCTTGTAGTGCCTTTTGATAACGTTGAGGTTCCTGGTCTTCGATTCTTTCTTTATTCTGATGTTGTCAACATGCATTATAAGAAAACCACACACACATGCATGAAATACAGGTAATCAAAATCTTCTTTTTTATCAAAAACTGTACTGATCCTCACAGGAATACACAAATCCGCAAAAGAAAAGAAATTATACTACTTTTAAAATTCTTGCAAAACAATCTTAAAAAAAGAAAGACAAGCAAACTATGAAACACCTAGTGATCCTAACTAAACCAAAAAAAATCTCTTCATGCAAATTTAAGTTGAGAATTAATCTGTTGTATTTCTAGGTTTGATTAATTTAATGAACAAACAAACAATCATACAACATGACTCCATCATGTTCAAGTTCATGAGAATTTTTCATCTATACTTTTCACACCTTAAACATGCTCCTTAAGAACATTCATGCGATGAAAACACGATCATATTCCAGTGTATTATAATGACCTAGACCCTCAGAAGTCGTACTTACCCGTTGTCTCCTTTCCTCTTCTTCTCGCCTCTGTCTTTCTTCCTCTTGGCGCTGACGACGTAATTCTTCCTGCTGTCTTTCGTATTCCTCTTGAGCAGCTCTGGCAGCTGCCTCCTCCTCTTCCTGTTGTTGACGACGGCGATTTTCTGCCTCTTCGTCGTAGGCTGGCTCAGCTGGAGCACTGTAGCTGTCCTGTAGAAAGAACATATCTAATGTGTCAACACTTGACCTTTTCAATACTTCACAGAAAATCTCTCTATAAATAACATTTGAAAATTTCATTTTTAAAAAAATGTATGCAATATGTTCTTATCAACCTAGATTTACAATAATCACTGATACTATGAAAGTACTTCATAATTAATTTTCTTAATGGCTGAAAGGAAAATGCACCTGTGACAATATTGGTCACAATTTCTAATTTTAAATTGTTGATCTGAAAATAATCCAAACGATGCATATTGCAACACAGTAAAGCTTTAATTTTCAACATGTCTAAATTATCAAATGGATAATTGATGCGGCAAAAATTGCTGTTGTGATTTTTAATGGTGCTCAAACTTCAATACAATGTGTATCTTTCCACTGTTCCTATAAACTACTATATACACATGATAGAAATTTGATCCCAGTGTCCAATCCTGAGGTTAGAATACAGAACAGCTGTTTAGGACATTTATACTGAAAACATGCATCTAAATCTACATTTGATTATATTTCTAAGATCTACACCATACATAAAGCTAATTAATACACATTATCATCATTTAAACCTAAAATGATATTTTCTGCAAGCAAAAATATTTCACAAAATATTCTTTTATTGTACTTGTAAGACATAAAGGAAAGGATACTAGAAAACTGAGAGCTCATGTTAAACAGGTCTTACTGTAGACTGAAGAATCAGCATTATTCTTAACCGCTGATTAAAATATATTATCATTTCTAGATAAGATTTTGGTAATTTAACAGATACGAAGCCCAGTCGGGGAGATTAACAATTATTCTGAAGAACAATGAAAGAGCCACCAGTAATGGCTTAGAATATTTGATAGGCAATGGTTTTGATAAAATGACCATACATTCTCTGGTCACATCCATGTCTTTAGGAATTTCTGGTTACATATTACAGAAAATTATAACATAAAGTATGCAGATAAATATGTAAATATGCAAATGTACAATACAAATATATAATTACAATGTGTACAATATGAAGCAGAATACATAAAGCACTAGATTACAGTATCTGTGACAAATGGACTCTCAGATCCTGTAAAGAAAGATCTACTTCATATAACTATCACTAATAAGGCACTGATCCAGCAGGATTACAATACACATATACTTCCTGTAAACAAATAGATATAAGCATATATATTGTAATGGTGCTACAACTTAACATGAAATGTTGATAAAAGTAGTAAGTTATGATGCAAGTATGATTATTTATTATGCAAAGAAATAAGAACGAATACTTCAACTAAATAGAAGATGGGTTCTAAATTTATGTTGGAGAATTGAAGATATATTATTTTACTCTTGTCTTAATTTCCTCCCTGATTGCTCTAGCCTCCCCATCCTTAAAACAAAATTAGTTAAAATCTTAGAATGTTATAAAAAAAGTAATCTGATCTGATATTTCGTCCTAACTTCCATTGTACATGTAGCTCGCCATCTAAAGAGAAATTCAAAATACAAATATTCACATTTATTCAAGAACACCCAGGAATGATAGAATTAATTTAGAGGTAAAAGGTACTGATGTAAGAAATACTGATTTGAGGAGAAAGGAAATTCTATGATGGAAGGGAGACAACTCATCACCCGGGAAGAAAAAACTCACTATCACCCAAGAAGGAATCTAAAGTGAAATACAAACTTGGTCACCTCAAAGTTTCTGATGACATGGTTTAATATATCCCACAGTCACATCGACTTTGACACGAACAAATTCACTGGCTATGAAATTCTCTTTCAAGTCAAGATGGGAAAGGGAATGACAAATTACTGGTGTTGTAATCTGTCTAGTATTGAAAAAGGAAATGTTGACGGTATTCAGGAAAAGAATAGAAAAAGTTGCTGGTGTCCTCTAATTTCATCTAATTATTTTAATCTGACCAAAAGGTTTTTACATTTATAATGCAATGAGATTTTACAGAGGATAAAACGCATTATCAGCACAAGAATTTCACAAAACAGTTGCTGTACAATGTATCAAATTAGAGGGAATTTTAGAGGACATAGCTATATGATAATATGGTAACTACAAGATATAGAAATGTATATGAATGAGAAGGTTAGTTTGGTACAGTTTATATGTGCAATAGTCTCCAAGGTTGCGGTGCAGTTTCCAAGGACAACACTGACGTTACCTCATCATCTCCACCCCTTCGCCTCCGTGAGCGATAGCTGGATGTGTCCTGAAAGCAATTATGTACCCAAACGTGTGAGGGTTAATACAGAGGAATAATTCCCCTGTACAACATGGTGAGAGATATAGTATTATACTCAGTAACTTCCCTTATACAAAATAGCCCAGAAGTGAACTCATTTACATCCCTTTCACCACACTGCCACTGTTTTTACTAAGTTACTTCCCTTGTCACCACATAGCCAGAGCTTTACTCAGTTACTTCCCTTGTCTAAGATAAGGGTTAAGTTTTAGAAAAACAGAAAAATATACAATTCATGCATGAAGCTTGATGCAGAGTCCTTCTTTTCTTAAACCTGATTCAGCACACTGCTAGAGTGTAAATTGTTGAGGAGCAACTATGTAAAAATTAAGAATATTGAGACAGTGACATCACACAGTATCTAAGAATTACCTAAACCAGACATCACACAGTATCTAAGAATTACCTAGTCCAGACATCACACAGTATCTATGAAATACCTAGTCCAGACATCACACAGTATCTATGAAATACCTAGTCCAGTCATCACACAGTATCTAAGAATTACCCATTCCAGACATTACACAGTATCTATGACTACAAAATGAGGTGATATTAAAATACGAAAGTCATTTGTAAGTTATACATATGCTGGGTCTCCATCCACCACCATCTTTGTAAAAATATTGATTAGAGAAACAGAAAATCACAAATACCACACCATAACTAATGTTTGAAGGTACAGATGACAATATGGATCAAAACACAGTTGTTCAAACTAATGATGAAGTCACTTTTAGAGACATATAAAGGTAAGGACACACAGATCGACAATAAACAATAAACAGATAAACAATAAACAAAAAACACTTAAATTACTGACAGTATAGACAAACGAAAGGATCAAAATATGATATGAGCATATGTTCCTTCCATAACGTTATGAAAGAGTAAAATTATGCTTAATTTTCCCATGTTAATATTAATTTTTTTATTTATAAACAAGTAATTAGGTCAATCTTAAGATGTGTTTATCTTTTTTAATAAGCATTTAATAGGAGTGAGAATGTAGAATAGTTAAAGTCTGAAGATCAAACTGTTAATGTGATATTACTAGAGGTATAAAATTTGAAAAGCAAAATCTGTTTCAATGTAGCAGTGTAAGTTCAACTGACCTCTTCCTCCTCTGCTTGTTGCCGACGACGACTGCGACGAGATGTGGTTTCCTCCTGTTCTTCCCCAGCACCTCTGCAAATTAATTAAAGTGAAAATTTAACAAAAATCAGGAACTGGTGTTGCTTCCTTGACATTTCCTCTACCATCCATAGGTTTAGTCTGAACTAATGATTTTTTCAATGTTTTATTGGTATTAAGTAAGATGATGTTAACTGTTCAAATTAGTCACAATCTAGAATGATGATGAATAAGAATAATGATCCTCAATTAGTAAATGAACATAGCTCCAAAATAAAAAATTGAGACAACTTTCCTTCTATATCTAAAGTCAATTATCTAAAAATTACTACAATATCAACTTTTTAAAAAAAAATCCAAATTTCTAACTGCTAATGTCTGTGTTTCAATATCAAATAAAACAGCTATTTTCTATTTAAATTCTTTACAAACAACAAGGGGAGAAATATATTACAGGAACAAACTTGGATCACACTCATGCAAAATTATCCATAATTACAAGGTGTTACCTCCCCTAGACCAGTCCCAACATTCTGTCACATGTTGGACACACATGTACAAAGTTCTTTGAAAGTCAAAAAATAATCTATATGAACTTATCTATTTGCAATATTTTTTTTTATAAATTATATCTTTTAATGGAAGGATCCATAAAATTACATGCATGGGGAGATTTTTATAAACTAGCCTCTCTCTATGCCAAAATTCTCTTGCATTCTCCACCTAGAACAAAATTCTGCAATCCAGAATTTGTTCCAAAGCAAAATGAAAATTCTTGTATCCACTGCGGGTCTGTTCAATAGAGATTCCACGGTATAAAGATAAAACATACGATAAAAATTTTTAATGCAATTTCACTTTCACTCTATTTATATGAGGAAAAAAAACGTGAACAATTTCTGACTTTTAACATTTTTCTTCCTTAAATCTAATGATTGGGCATGAACAGGTCGCTATAATTCATTTCTTCCTTTTATAATAAATGAACTTAAAATAAATAATAAATTTGATGAATTTAACATACGTAAAATGTGTGGTCACTTTAAATATTGAATTGACAAGGGACAGCTCTATCATAAATATTGAATTGACAAGGGACAGTTCTATCATGAAACAGTGAAATTATCCAGCATTCTTCTAAGTAATTATTTATATCTCTAATTTATTTTTATTTTTCATTTACTTACAGTATAAAACTGACAAGAAGAGAACTAGAGGAATGAGCTGAGTCTCTAATGAAAGTAACTTCCAGCTTTATGCCATGTATACATAGAAAATATTTTTTTACAAACTGTTTCATAAGCTGGTGCCCCTTACTTTTCCTAATTTCAGACTTTGGTTTTTTGTTATTTCTTTCAGTATTTTTGTGGTTTTCTACCATACAACATTAAGTAATTTTCTCCATTAGGAGGATGCTTGGAGATGAGTGGGAAGAGTGGAGAAGGCCAGTGTGTGGGCGTATCTGCTGTCACTGTCCCTGCAGCATGCCATATGGAGTGATGGGTTACCTGATATTGATAGGGCCTAACAAAACACATCTGGGACTGTTGTATCACCCCATGGGAGCTGGTCACCATGAGGTTGTATATCAGGTAGCTCATCACTCCATGGGAGTGGACACCACCAGAAAGTGTATCACTGCATGGGAGCCAGTAACAATTAGGTAGTGCATCACTCCAGGAAAGCTGGTCACTACTAGTCCTATGCTACTCCAGGGGAGCTGGTCTCCACCATGTAGTGCATCACTCCAGGGGAGCTGATCATCACCATGTAGTGCATCACTCCAGGGGAGCTGGTCACCACCATGTAGTGCATCACCCCAGGGGAGCTGGTCACCACCATGAAGTGCATCACTCCAGAGATTTTTGTTTTGTTTCAATGTTTATTTCAGCAAATTTGTTTGGTGTTTTTGTGACACAAGATAGAGGCCTTCCTTTATTTTATCAACTTTAACACAGAATGAACATTTTTTGCCAAAATTGTAAACCAGATATATAATTTATATTCTTTTCTAAGAATATGTTCAAACTTTCATTTAAGTCACAAACTCAAAGCACTTTGTACATGTGTGATATAACAGATATATAATCCTTTATGTCACTCTTGCCTCAGCCTCTGTTCTCGGCGCTCCCGTCTTCGTCGTTCAAATTCATCCTCCCCGTTTATTGTGCTAACCCCCGCAGCTCTGAATTAGTGAGGAGGGAAAAAAGGCACACTCTGTTAAAACAAGCTAGCACAAACCTCAAAACAAAACCAACTGTAGGGAAAGAGAAGAAACATGGTCAAACAAGTCAAAGAGGATCACAATCAAGCAAGTAATTCACCCAAAATTGTATGATCAGACAATAAGCCCATGTCTGGTAATAAGCCCACCCATATCTTTATATTTCCAGCAGAATAACAATCAAGGTAGTATGTCCTGTGACATTCTCCCTACCTCAGATTTATCTGTCGGTGCTGGGCTTACTGCAGGATAAATGTCATTAATCTTTGGAGATCTTTTAAGGTTTTAACATATCATACAATAATTATAATACCATGATATTGTGATGTTATTACAAGAGTTGTTTTTCTTTAAACATGTGGAAGAGAAGGATTCTCCAACAGACTAAGCAGATCATTGCTTGCTTGATAGTGAAACAATACAGAAGGAATTACCTCCCTTTGATAACCCAACTAAAAATTTCATAACGTTAATCAAACTAATCATTCAGATGATTGATCCAGCATTCAAACATTGAAACAATACAGAAGGAATTACCTCCCTTTGATAACCCAACTAAAAATTTCATAACATTAATCAAACTAATCATTCAGATGATTGATCCAGCATTCAAACATTGAAACAATACAGATGGAATTACCTCCCTTTGATAACCCAACTAAAAATTTCATAACATTAATCAAACTAATCATTCAGATGATTGATCCAGCATTCAAACATTGAAACAATACAGAAGGAATTACCTCCCTTTGATAACCCAACTAAAAATTTCATAACATTAATCAAACTAATCATTCAGATGATTGATCCAGCATTCAAACATTGAAACAATACAGAAGGAATTACCTCCCTTTGATAACCCAACTAAAAATTTCATAACATTAATCAAACTAATCATTCAGATGATTGATCCAGCATTCAAACATTGAAACAATACAGAAGGAATTACCTCCCTTTGATAACCCAACTGAAAATTTCATAACGTTAATCAAGCTAATCATTCAGATGATTGATCCAGCATTCAAACATTGAAACAATACAGAAGGAATTACCTCCCTTTGATAACCCAACTAAAAATTTCATAACGTTAATCAAGCTAATCATTCAGATGATTGATCCAGCATTCGTACATGTTTGGTTGTTGAAAGAAGAGTGTTTTAAGAGTTGTTTTTTCTTTAAATTTTTAATGAAATGTTAATGCTGAGGAAAAAAGATACTATTTCAAATTATCAGGCCATGCAATATCACACAAACAGGATCTAATTACATGTGTCTGATACTATCAGTAATAACATATGATAATTAACCTGAAAAATATAATCCTGCCGTAGTATACAGTGTTTTTACAGGGATTATTATATATATTTTTATTGACAAAATACCAGAGAGACACGAAAAAGTCATCTTCTCTGTAGATACATGTAAATGTTATGCTCGTGTAAAAATGTAATTATTTGTGATTTCAGAAAAAGCCTTCTCCAGAACTTGTGTTAACATTTAAAACACCTGTGCAGAAAATCTCTCTCATTAACTATCAATACACAAACAAACTTTGTTTATTTAGTTGCTGATAAGATTTCTTCTTGCTTTACTTATGGTAAAATAACTTGGTTCCAGGACTACAATATTATCGTAATTAAACATCCAATTACTTGTACGTATCAGCTGTATCTTATGGTAGTAAACTTTCACATGTGTGCTGTTCAGATATAGCTTTAATATAATGTTGAATTGATTCCATTTTTTCCAGTGAATATCTGCACATCAGTATCTGGCAGGCAGCCAGATCTCCTCGACCTTGCTGGTATAGGTTATTTCCAGTTTTCCAACTCACAGAGCTGTGCAGGCAGATGAGGTTATATTTGTAGTACATTCCTCCTGGCTGGGATGTTGGTTCCATTAGGCCAGGTATCAGACCAGTATCTCTGGTAAAAACTGGCCAGAATTCCACTACAGATCTGGTGGCACTAGGCACATAATAATACTCCATTACACTTGGCACACTACACAATCCAGTACAGACAATATTATCCAGAACACTGCAGGAGTCTGTACCTGGTGAGGCACCCCAGGAACTTTTATCTCCAAAAATAGCATCCAAACATAGTAAATCTGCTGTTCTTCACCTCAAATTCAAATGTCTGAATTGTTATATAAATCCAAAGCTTCAGATGAATGGTGATTTATTCCTCAAAAGGCTAAAAGTGAACTCCACAAGTACATTCCATGATAGATTTTCAATATAATTCACCTGAAAATGTTCCAGTATCAACACGAGTTTTCTTTACATACCAAACAATAAAGCAAGAAGATTTGTTTTTTTGTTTTCCTTATCTGAAACTCTGTCTCTATTTTCTACACCTTGTTTGAATTTTGAGAATTAACTTGAAATTTTAAATGAAATTACGATGCAGTTTACATCATCAGATCAGTTTTATAAGCAGATTACCAGCTTTTTCATAACACTCACGGAAAATTCACATTGGTAATATAAATCTACTATTAAAGGTATGAGGGAGTTACTCCCCCTTGGAAAAAAGAATGAAAATGTGTTAGGTTTCATTTGTTAGTATATGTAAAACAATAATAAGACATATCTGATATCTCTACAGAAAATCCTTTATCGTAAGCTGAAGAATAGTGGGCACATACAGTCACTGTTTCTCCCATATATGGAGTATATTCAATACACTCCATATATGGGAGAATAAATGAACTATAATTTTTGTAGTTATTGATAATCAATTACATTCATACATAATGACATTTATCACAATTTGATTAAAACTATATTCATGAATTTCATATAAAACAAATGATATTGTGCTACTAACCAATAACAAGAATATATAAACAGACTACATGGGTACTGATTGAACACATACATGAGTTTGAGTCGTTCTTCACGTTCTCGGCGACGCTGAGCAAGTCTTTCCTCAAGATCAGCAGACAAAACACTTGTTTTCATATCACTATTCATGCACAGCAACATGCAAACAAATAAAAGATGCAAAAATGAAAAAAAAAATACGAACATAATAAACCTAGATCAATTATCCTAAAAACTGAAAAGAAAAATTTTTTGAAATAATTGTGAAAAAAACATGCAAACAAAAATGTCACACAAGATGAGACATGCTGTGGAAGTTACTTTAATTATGCTTGATATGTGGATCAGACAAGACAGATTGACTTTCTCTCCGTAATAAAAAAGATTTCTAATAGATCTGCCATATCACCAATTATACCTTCATGAATGTTATTTTCATTTTTTCTTTCTTAATGAAACTGACAAATATTTTCTTGGTAATTTGATGTATTGGAACTTCTTTCAATGAAATTATGATAAAAAAAAGTTTGATGTTCCATAAAACATTCCTCAATTCATTTTTAAACCAATCAGCTTAGGCTTGGTGATAAAATACATCCAGTTGATAAAGCATGTAATGTAATCAACATCTGTGTGGGAGTTTCACCTATCAGTATTCCAACTGGCTCATGTTACATCACTGCAGCTATACAGAAGGAATTAACATCCCTAGGGAGCTAGCCAAACTGCCAATACCTTATAGGGTGGTTGAGGACAAGGGTCTCTTCACACTGATATGTACCCCACACAGAGTGCTAGCCAAAATTACTAGGAGTCTTGTACGTAATAACCTGATACAATTAAAATGATTTTAATAGCCGAGGAATCTTCTCCACAAAATCTTTTATTTCTATTGTAACGGTGGTAGACATGCACATGTGGCAGCAAAATCCAATGTGAAGTTTACAATGGGTTATAGTTTACTGTCATAATTTTTTCCCCTAACGTTTAAGTCCTAACATTGTCTATTGAAATTCAAAACATTAATATTTTAAACATCCTGTAAAGATATGACAAATCGCATGGGATGCAGATTAAGAGGTTAATTAAGAGTGCATGTGACAGCCAGAAGACTCAAACAGCATTTAAACAATTTCTGCAATAAATGCTGCACTTTCATTGAAGCCTCTTTCATGACAATATCAAAAACTTTTAATCAACATCGCTGAAATTTTATCTTTAATTCAATTGATAAATTCTGGTAATCTTTATTCCATGTTAATGTCCATTCTGGGCAACTGTGGTGAGTGAATGTTACTACTGAAGACCACGGCAGAATAGAGACAGGACAAGGTAAAATATATATATATATAAGGTACATAATTATCTACAACGCGTTAGGCACATAATGTATGTAATACCTATGAGAACTTCATTATAGCTCCTTCTTTTTGTAAATAGAAATAAAAATGCTGGAATTCAAAAATTTTTAAACAATCTAGGACTATTCTTACATAATTGGTGATATGCAATATGTTGGACCGATTTGTAGTTTGTTTCTGAAAACGACCATAAATTCTGCATGATGAGTCACACAAACATGAATCTAGACAGTCGTTGAGTCAATCACCGACTCCAATAAACACCACTGAAGAAATATATACACTGCACAGTAATAAACAACAAAAATTTCTGAAGCAATTAACTTTGAAAACTTGCAATTCAAAATTACATGTATGCTGTCCATTACAACATGAACTCAACTCAAGTTGGAACACATTTGTTTTGCCTACATACATATTTAGATCTATTTATCTACATGCACTTCCTTTACGCCATAGTTTATGACTGCCCATCCCTACTAGGTAATGTCTCTTTCCCATAAAGTCATATAAGTGTGCAGAATTCATTCAAGTGACCTATTTTATTTTTACAACATTACGGGTAAATCAACAGTTGTAGAACATTCCTGTAATTTTTGAAAGTGTTAAAATTCCACCTTTATACACAACACATAAATTAGTGTAGGAGGGCAAGATTATCAGTGCTGGTCATTTAGTTAATTTGGTTTTGTAATTATAATTACTTTGGCAAGATGGACACAATGTTTTATGAAGGATCTTAGTATATCCTCCACATCACTATGTTTCTGACAAAACAATTTTATAGGTTACCTCACAGTGTATTGGGCAGTGAATATAATTCAACCATGTTTAAGTACAGCTAGGTATCATTTACAGCCATTGGGCAGGTGTGATACTAGCAAGAGGTTAAATGGTACACATACTGTTATACTGAAAGATGGCAAGACAGATACCAACTGCTTTGAGAAACTGACATATTTAAACAAAAGCTGTACAGTTAATAACCCCTTTATCAGCTATAACTGAGGAGGGAGATTTCTACAGATACAATGAACACAAAATATTCTAAAGTAGATCTGGTTCAGTTGATTGACCCAAGTGTTCTAAGTGTTTCGCTTTAGTACAGTGCCACCATGAGTTAAAGACATCTTTATTCACAAAGTACAACAACCCTTTCTGATTCACTTGCTTGAAGGATTACTTTTGAAGATTACAAAATTGAAACACAGTTTCTGAACTAGATAATATTGGGAGGTATTTCAATATAAAGTGTATGTAAATTTTACTTGCACTAATACCCAATAAAGTTCACTTTGTTATGAAGTCAGAGCTTAACATTTGTAGTAACACTGATGTGAGCTTGAATGTACCTTAATGACCCCTTCTAAAAACTGAGTCTGGCAAGAAACTGCACATAACATTTACTGGTATATCTTGTGTTCACATGTGTTGCCAGTACTGTTTACAATTCTAAGCTACGTAATAATAAATGAATACACAACCATTTAAACATGAAAATATGTTCTCATCAAATCTCTTCATCAAAACATGCTGTTCTACAGACAATGTGCTTCTTCTTCAACCTTATGTATGGTTTTGTGGAGTGTGTATTGTAACAACTGGTCTGCCTTCACTCTCTATCATCCCTTCTCGCCATGACAACTGCAGGTTGCCAAGAGATCCTCTATCACATTGCCAAATTAGTATGCAAGCAGTAGCTTGGCAGAGAGAGGCTGAACAGAAGCCGCATGCTAGATGGATTGGGGTTTTTGTGGTGGTGTGCTACCGTAATGTTGCCAGCTGCAGCAGTTACCTACCCCTGAATCCTGTATAGTACACCAAGTTCATGTGGTAGTAATTCTGTTTATACTGGGTAATTAGGACCCGAACATATAAACACGGCAGAATTTCTGTAAATCAACACTGATTTTGATTATAAAATATGGTGAATTGTATGTGTTACTGGTGTTGGTGAGGGATGTTTAATTAACAACATACAATAAATTATTAACTTACAATACTGTCAAGTGATTTCAAAGACAAAACCAGAAGAGTACATGCACACCTGGAGATAAACATGTACAAATTATAGCACTGTATGATATGTAATGAAATCATTTTCTCCCAAATCTTCAGAATGTAGAATGGTAGGTTGGAAGAAAGTGAGAATATTTGTCAGAAAACATTACTACAGAGGCAGAGAACAAAATATCCTTGTAGATTCTGCATGTTCTATATACAGGGTTGAAAAGTGGCCTTGTGCAGAAGTTATTCTGGTAGGTGATGTTTTTACAGATACACAGCCATGGAACATGGAGACATTGCGGACATTGATATAATGATTTAATTGCTTTGCGACGTGTAATACACAAAGTACATTGTGCATAATGTTTCAGGTTTCTATAATTGTCAGCAATATGCAAAAAAAAGGACAAATATGCTACCCCAGCTAGGTTCAATTTAGCAAATAACTGTACAGATATTGGTGCTGTATCTGGTTAGTTGTCATATCAACTGTAACCTAGGAAATCCTGTACCAACATGTGGCAGCCATATTGAGTGTTCAGTGAGAAGTGATGAAGGTTTTACATATGTAATTTCTGTAAATGATCATAGATCAAACAGCTGGCTTTTCACTCACAAGTTTTACACTGTAAAAAATTTTTTAGATATGTTCAGAGAGATTAACAGAAAATTTCACTCGTAATATCTGTACATTGAGGAATTTCTAATACAATGTAGTTAACATTATGATACTACAAATGCTTTCTCTATTTTTCTGAATCTCGAACATTAAAATTTATCACTTAACACACCATAAATGGTTTTCATTCTGATATAGAATGTCATCAGTGTGTAACTTGTTTTAGTGATTATCAATACCACAATGATTTAAAGATACCCAGTTTAACACCATCCTCGCTTATGTCATCAATCATTTTAATGCTTTTCTCCCTAAATATGTGAGGTTTTTTTTATCAAGTTATCACATTCAAAGCTAACGAAAGCAAAGACACTATCACTCAAATGATTTAACGAAGAATTTAACTCAAAGCAAGGATTTCAAAGATAAACTAGAATTTATTTTTAAAAGAAGACCTAGAGTACAACTGTTCATGAACTTACTTTTCTGATTTTTATCTTCTATTTCCCTCTACAACCACATGTTGATGTATTTTGCCAAATTCAACATTTTGTAAGGAAAGAAATACTAAGACTTTAATAGTAAGTTAACAATAAGTACACATAGGTGATCTCACTGACATATAGATCTAGCTTCCTCTCTCTTCTACACCAGACATTGTGATGGTCAGATACCTTTCACAATGTCTAATGTCTGGTATAGGGGCCAGAGGAAACATGGATTAAGACAAATCAGATACATAAGACAAGACTGAATGCTGCAATACAACTGAGAGAAATTACATTGTTATCTAACCAGAAAATGACAAAGTAATCAGCATGAGAGGAAAGACAGCCTAACTTGAACATTGACATTTCCAGAAGCACAACAGATTTAAGAGATAAAAGTAGAAAAGTTTCTAGCAACATGCATGATGTAAATGTTTTTCAACAAATGCTCATGTTGATGAGAAATACTGTTTGCATCTGCTCTGAAAGGCATGATGTAAATTGAAATAATGGGATATGGTCGTTTCTGAAGTTTGGCTGTAAGCCATCAAATCAACTTCAATCTTTATAAAGTGATGAAAGCAACAATTAAATTGTAACTTAAGTGCAATTTTCATTTAGCTTTTGAGGGATCTTACTTACAGTGTAACACAACATGTCAAAGCTG